ATGGGTCAATTTGTTTGTAGTAGTGAGTGATGTGCATATGCATAAAGAAAATATATTTGTTCCTAAGCTACGAAAACATACCGTAGAATTTAAGTAAGGGGGGGGTGGGATGGATGCACGAAATTGTTAGTAGTATATGCTGAGGCTTCCGGAGGAAGTGGAGTGGCGGCGCCAAGATAAGCTGCGATTCGGAGCCTCCAGGCAACCAGCAAATCCCACACCTTACGAGAGTCCAGACTCTTTTCTTCTCCAGCCAGCATGACCTCAGGCCCATCTTCCCTAAATTCAGCGGCCAACCGACTGGGATTTCCAATTCCAGGTTGAACGGACTCACGTCACACGGGGCGAATGCTGTTTGTGTTTATGGGGTAGCCCCCGATCGCATCTCCATCCCCGTTGGCACTTGCATTTCCCCTCACAATTCGGCTGGCCTCCGCCGTGAGAGGAAATTGTTACGTTCCGGCACAAGACAGCCCATGGACGTCGATTGATGCCTTTCCTCTCGCAATCAACCATCCTTCAATCATCCTGAATGTTCGTTCGGCTTATACCGCCACGCCTACAGTGCCGCCAGCGTGCGACTGTCCGCGCGGTACTCGGATGCGCAATTGCCTTGGCCATCTGCGTTGGCAGAGTGACTGCGACTGCGACTGCGACTGCGGATGAGAATGCCCTGCCAGATCCCTCAACCCTGGCCTCCAGAAGTCATGGCCAATTCCTCTTCGGTGAGGCTAGTCCGGAATTCGCTTTCCCACTCGCAGAATACAACGGTTTGGAGTTCGAAGATGCGGTAGACGAAGAGGGAGATACGCGCGGACTCGACTTAGTTCGCCGGGCTCCCACTGGGGTGACATCCCTCGGAAACAATCAGTATCAGAATGGCACTCTCAAGATGGGCGAGACGGAGTGGTGGTATTTCCCCGTGAATGGCGATGAGACCAACAGCACCTCTGAGAATAAGCGTCGCGATCTTTCCAAACGTTCCACCACCGTTTTTTTGTCCCTCACGGCATGCTCGAAGCCCAGCCGCAACAACTCGGATTCCACTAGCACAGCGGCTGTACCGCAGCTGACAGTCTACGCATCTGAATCGATAGAGAAGCCTGGGCCTGACAAGTCCGAGTCCGACCAGACAATCAAATCAGCAGAGGAAGGCTATGTGGGCATGACCCTTACGGCCAATGGTGATGTCTATGTCGGAGTGACGGCTCCCAATAGCACCGAATATTCTGGTTCTTTCACCTACCAGATTGCGGCCTCGACAGATGCTTATTTTCATAGCGTCGACGAGAGTGATCAATTCATGTTCTTAGTTGATTCGGACACTGGAGCAGCGCTTCTGACGACGAGAAATCTCACCACCACCGATCTTACGTCACAGAACTACAGTTCCTGGATGGACAGGACTCCTCCATACACAATGTTCGCCAACAACATCAACAGTTCGTCTATCTCTGGCTTAGAACGGTCATTCTGCGCTCTCGATACGCTGGCGCAGATTGGGAAGAGCCAAGTTGAGGCGAGCCTCACCACCCGGGGTGCAGTAGACAGGCCAACCGAGCAGTTCTATGTCACCGGTCTCAACAAAACCTCCACCTACTACGGATTCATGGCTCGTGAGGGCAATTCCACCAGTTGGGGCAATGGAATCGTGGGAGGTGGAGGTAAAGTATGGCCACGCATGAACTTTACAACCAAAACAGGTGAGAGACAATGCCCCAATAGCATGGTCTAAACGTACCCTAACGAAGGACCAAACAGATGACAACTGTGCCGTTGTATACGACCTGCCATTCTGCTCCGAAGTCGCCTACGCAGTGCCATCCAACCCTTCCATCAACATGACCGAACTCCGCCAAATCTATGACGACAACGCAGCATCCCTATACAAAAACTTCAACTACTCCCTCCAACAAGTCCAATGCAACACCTCCAGCGAGAGCATGTTCTCCCTCGCTGTATCCTGCCACACCTGCGCCGAAGCATACAAGCAATGGCTCTGCGCCGTGACAATTCCCCGATGCGCAGACTTCTCCAGCAACGCCACCTACCTTCAAATCCGGAATGCAGGCCAGCCCTTCCTCAACGGCACCTCGATCACCAACTCCTCCCTCCTCAAAAGCCCCGCTACCAACAACTCACGCAACCCCCTCATCGACAGCAAAATCCGCCCCGGTCCATACAAGGAAGTTCTCCCCTGCCAGGGCGTCTGTCATAGCCTTGTCCGGAATTGTCCTTCGATTTTAGGCTTCGGCTGTCCGGAAGGCCCGCGGGCGAATATGTCGTACGGCACACGCGACCCTAATGGTGACATCACGTGCAGTTATCTTGGAGCAGCGTATTACCTTAATGCTGTTTCCAGTTTGCATGAGAGCATCTGGATCTCCCTCTATATGGTGATAAGTGTTTGGACTTTGTTCTGGGTTCTTGGGTAGTAGGAGTTTATCGCACGCAATTAAATCGAATGAGTGTCACTATTCCCCAGAATCTTTGACTTCCTTATTCTTTCTTTATTTTTTTAATTTCGTTAGTCGACATGCATCGGGTATGTATAGTGTGGAATACATAGATCGTCTGCTTTATGTTTGGAGCAGGCATAGATGGTGGAGTCATAATGCTGGATCAGAGAGGCATTGCATGTGCATAGCTATACGAAGATGCGAATGCCCCTCTGCGTAAGGATGGCTTGTATGTTACAGCCTGGAGTTCGTATCTGTTATTTTCAACTATTATGGCCCCTAAATGAGAAGTGTTTTGGGACGTAAGCTGCGAAAATACACTTGCTTATAGTTGGCAGGTGGGCCTGTCTTCTCTACACCCAAAAAAGTCTTTAGACTTGCCTTGATCTGTCTCAAACACTAGACCAAAGGCAGCTAGCTAGTAATAAATCTCACGATTTTGAATTAGTATATACATTGCCATATGACAGATGCCCAAATGTAGACGGCAATTGTTGTAGTAAATATGTCGAACCCTTCTAACCATTAACTCATGATAGCATATAATCCCCTTTCATGACGCCGCGATAATCCCTGGTATCTGATAATGTCAAGTCGAAACACAAGCGCTAACTCATTTTGCTTTCAGAAGGAAAGAGAGAAATTTGTATGAAAGCAGACACCACATTATTTGCCCCTTTTCGGGGTCGGTGTCCACATGTTCCTCAGAGATGAACTTGAGGACGATGCCGCTAGACGAGGCGTACTTCCCACCTGGTGAAGTAACTTCTGTGCTGCGGGAGTCAACACTTTGTTCGTCCTCCCTCCTGGCGTAGCTGCACTTGGGGTACGCAAACCAAAGTCCAGTCGTGGGCTGCTGGCGAACCGTGGCGTTACAGGGGTCTTTGTTTCGCGAAGGGACTTCTCCGCTCGCTTAGACCTCGCTACGCGATCTACCATGCGGTGGTGAATATCTTCTCGTCTCCGGTTTTCTTTGATCTCAAAAGGATTCGGTGTGGCATCACTGCCGCCAAGCAGGCGAATATCATCCAGAGAAATCGCAGAATCCTTATTGTCATTTGATGAAGCGAGGGGATATTCAGGCTCATCCTCATCCACAAAGGCATACCCATTCACTCGTGGCGTCTCACCCCCTGTATATACTGCTTCAGATTCGGTGGGCCGAGGGTGTCCGGCAATAGCGTCTTTAATGGCCGATATCGAAGGTGAGGGCGGGGGTGCATTTGTGGCAGATGACGTCTGCTGGACGCTCTCATCTGGTAACCGTGTGTTCTGAAACACTACCCGCTTGGGCCCTGCGCGCGATGATGCTTCGGCTTTTTGCTGTATAGTTTCATATGAGTCCTCTATGGAAGAAGGCGCAAACATGAGCGAGTTCTCGGGTTGAGTCTTCCAGGTATCTGGATTTGCGGGCCGGGCGTCCAGGTCAGTCTTTATGGCCACCTGCTTGAGTTGATCTGGGTTACCCCCTTGTGCCTCGATCCGCTTAGCTTCTTGCCGCCGATACGCAATCTGTCTAGCAGTCGGTATTTTATTCCCACTCCACAACCATTTATATCTCTCGCGGTGCTTTTCATTTTGTTTATCGAGCAGCTTGTTGAACGACTCATTATCTTCACTCGTATATTTGGCCTGGAACTCTAGCAGCCCAAGGCGAGACACATCCGGTTTAGTAGCATGGTCGACGTTGGGTGTAGTAGATGACGAAGTTGTTGACATGACTGACATCGGTGTATCTCCACCCCAGCCCATCGGGGTGTCTTCAGGGCGTCCCGAATTGGTGGCTCGTGGTGTCATATTGGCTGATCCGGAATGCGATCGAGCTCTTCCCGGTGTCTTCAACAGGTCGGTCAATTTCTTCTTGGAGCTGACGATCCATTGTTTGTTTTTCGAATCAAGCGCATCCAAGTACTCTTGCTTCACCTGGGCTTCCAGGAGGCCGGGGAAATAATCACGCGCGATAATCTCCGACAGAGCATTGGTGTAGATATCTTCGTCCAACACAGTGGCCGGCCGCTTGATACGCTTGGGTGGCGGCGGCGGGGGCATAAGGCTGGTTTCGCTTTGACGTTTGGTCAGAGCCTGCGAGTCGGCAGACATGACTGGTGATTGCGTGTGAGACAAAGACATAAGCGTAGAAGTATCGAAGAAGAAGGTTGCTAAATGATGAAGAGGCAAGGGAAGAAGGAAGACGACATGCTCGTCTGCGACCAAGCGTGGATGACGAACATGGAAAGAGCGATCCCCGATATCAGCAGAGGAAGGAGCACACTACTGGCAGAATATCCAGACCGCCCTTGTTGGCGGTGAGAGCCGCCGTCACATGGCGATCAGGTGGTCTGGTCTAGCCTGATGCACGTGGGCTTACTTGTTTCAACGTCTGCTACTGCAATGCCCAGTACTTGAAAACTGAATCAATGAATAGCGCCATTCATGCTATAGTGACAGTAATATCAAATGTTATAATCATCACTTTTTCCTCTCCACGGTTTGCCCGCGTGTAAACCTCGTATCAAACAACTCTTTTCAGACAGACCCAGTTATCCCTTCCTGCTCTATCTATATACTGACACAGACCTAAATCGACAATGGATGTTGAACAACACAAGTGCTACTGCAATCGCAGCAGCTACCCAGACAAAAACCGAGACCAACAAAATGAAAAATATAAATCCGAAAGAATGTTCTCCGACTGAAACCCCGTTCACTGTCCTTTCCAAATCCTCCATTGCCAGAAAAACACCCAAGATTTTTTCTTCCCGAGGAAAACAGTCGCTGAGAAATGCACCAGGAAATGCAAGTGAAGAAAATCTGAGGAAATAACAAAGAAAACATAAGCGCATAGCCCGCAAGATTGGGACCGAATGACGGTTCAATAGATAACATTCATCGCAGAGAAATCGAAACGCAAGCCACCACAATGAGGGAAAAAATAAAGAATCATCAAGTCGTTGAAGAAGTTCTATAAGTGAACGGATGAGAAACGGAATGTTGCAGAATGCTGAGAACAAGGGGTCTGTGATGGATGCAAGTTGTCGTCAGGTTGATTGCAGCTCAATTGGCTGCAGGAGTGGGGAAGAGAGAATAGGATGCTCGGCCCTTGCGCCGAGGGGCGGCCCTAGAGGCAGCATCATTCTTGATGGCTCTGGCAATCAATGGGCCTGCCTCCACTTCAGTGGTGGACTTGGCTCTGTCGTGGATGGAAGGACCCACGGTGGACGCATAGCCTGAAGGCTCGGGGCTTGCGTCGCCATCGGCTCGGAAAAGAAGCTGGGCTTCAACTTCGCGGGCCAGGCTCTTGGTCTGCCGGTGATGGGAAGATTCGGGGCGCCCCATTCCTGAAAGTTCACCTGAGAGTCTCTGCTCAGATGGGTGGAACTCACGGCTGCTTGCCAAACTGTGCACCAGATCAGGAACACTAGCAGTCGATACGGAGGAACGATGTTTGCGGACGACCGACGCGGCGCGGGACAGGATCAAACTTTCCTGGGAGTTACACTTGCTGATGGGGGAGAAGCTGCTCCGGGGAGACACAGACTGGTCCATAGGCTGGATCACACCTGGCTGCGAGTAGAAGGCGAAGTGTCGGTCTGACTCCGTGTCCGCCGTCAAATACTCATCGTACAGCGAATCGGGGCTAATATGTTTCCCCAAGGTAGGGGCAAACCTCACAGGCTGAAAATAATCACTGTCCCGCTGCGTCACAGCAATGCCAGTGTTGTCATCTAGTGTGGAGGTAACCACTACCTGTGCGCTGGGGACATGATCCAGGTCAGTAGCGGGCAAGGCCGACGCGCTCAGCCGCATTGGTTCAAACATCGCAGTGTTCCCATCTGCGCCAGTAACCCCGTGTTCCGCATCGTCTTGTCGAGCCTCGTCAAGTGAACTGCGAGTCCAGTCAAAGTTGCAATTCGACTCGGCAGCATGTTCATAGCAGTAGTCAATGTCTGCGTCCCAAGACTCATATATAGTTTCTTGGATGGCTTTCAAGTTGACTGAGGATCTCCTTCGGACTGGCTCCCGAGCCATGGACTCTTGCAGTGGTGCAATACGATCCTGTGGAAGGGTGGGGGAACCCAGTGCCTCGGCGAACTTTCTTGACAAGTCTTCGGCAACAAAAATGGACAAATCGGACCTAGGGCCAGCCAGGGAAGTGTTGGATGGAGATCGCGCCTCAGACAGAGGCGGAGATCTTAACATAACAGGCGCGCGAGGAGAGACCTCGTCAGTTTCGAGGCCGGCTCCTTCATGCCAGGGGGCCGGCTCCTCTTCTTCTGGCACGTCTTCCAAGTCTGACGACAGAGTGGGTAAGGACATTGACGAGGTGCGGGCATTCATCACTTCATTGTTGACGCTGGTCGGGAAGGAATGGCCCGAAGGAGGCTGGAACATGTCTTCCATAGGGATCTGCGGCCAAGCAGCAGCATGTTCTACATCCTCGGTATGCGAGTATACATGCTCCGGGTATGTCGGTTGGGTTGACAGACCCAGGATCTCGTCAATGGCGCGAGGAGCTGGCTCAGGTAATTCAGGGGAGGATGCCAGTCTCGGGGAGGAGGCTCTCGGCGGCGGGCTGGTTGACCCAACTCTAGGAAACCTTGGGACAGGCCGCGAGAAGTTCTCAATGACGCGCGATTCTCTTCGTCCTCTGAGGTCGCGCTGCTTGGGACTCACCGACGAGGAACCACCTGGAGATGCTGGTGGACTACTTGGCGGAGGGGGAACAACGTCGTCACAGCCAATGGCCGTCCCACACTGAGTAAGATCCTCCGTGGAGAAGTCACGGAAGTGCAGGTCCTCAGCACGAATTCCTTTCAGGTTGGTAACAGGCCTCTGAGAGGCACGAATGGCCGAGAACTCAGTGACCAAGTCAGTCTCCCGGGCTTTTTCCAGCGATTGGAATTGGGACGGGCTCGTATGAGTCAGATGGTGGAAGTCAAAAGGATCCGAGATGAGGTTCTTCAGCTGGTCATCTGTGGCGAGTCCATTGTGTGAGCATTGAATACAATGTCGACAATTACAGCGCAATGCGCATGTGACAGGAGTGACTTACGCGCATCACTATGGCGTGACTTGTTCCGGCTGAAGATCTCCGAGACTTCAAAGCGAGGCTTTTCACGCTCCATTTCATCCTCCTCGTCCAGCGTGGAGACAATGTGGAACTTACTTCCCTGACGACGGAGGATCCGGCTTCCCCGCGAAAGGAGCGACTTGGTCACGCTCTCGGGCCGTTCATGGCGGACACCAGCCGCCGAGGTTGCCCGGTCATCATGCGACGGCAGCGATGCTGCATCCACGGAAGTCATGGAAGACGCGGGGGAACGGCGGGAAGAGGTGGTAGAGTTGGTGGTGTTACTGCGAGAGCGGCCACTGAACACGGACAGCCGCTTGGGACTATGCGCATGTGCAGTTGACCTGGAGCGGGTGTGGACCGAATATGGTTCGGGGGACTCGTTATGGGGTGCTCTGGCGGAGGGACGGTCCAGATCCTGCTGGGACATGGTGTGAATGGACACTGGCGGGTGGGAAGCCTGCATCAGAGGAACAGAGGGAAGGTATGTTGACTATATATCAGGGAATCCAGGTGGGCGATGACCGAGTCGTGGGGGCGGGCAAATGAGCAAGGCGAAGCAAGTGAGCGACCGTTAAGCCTCCGATTGTGATGGGATGGTCCTAGCTTTGACCATGGTAGGGAAAAGATGCCGCACACCAGAGAGCTGGGGAGACACAAAGCAGTCGAGAGCACCGACGAGCTGAAGATTGGCGGGTTTTCAAGGTCGAGGTTGAAAGCGCATGCCCCGTGTCGAGAGCCACGGAAAGTTTCTTGAGTGTTTTAGATTGAAAGTTGAAACGGCCGCGGGAAACGTATCCAAAACCCTGGGTCACAAGTGACAAGAAGGAATGAGATGATGGGGGAGGGGGAAACAAAAGGAAAATGGAAATGATAGATCAATTGCAAGAGGGGAAAGCAAAGAGAGAGAGAGAGAGAGAGAGAGAGAAAGATAGTGGAGAGAGTACGAGTAAGTAAGAGAAATCAAGAGAGAGCGTGTGAAGAAGATATGGAGACAACAGATGTGGGCAAAGGATGGAGTAAATGAGCCGTAAAGTAAAGTTCCAGCCGTCGCTGTCGCAATAACAGTTTAGGGAGCAAGTGGTTTTTACTGGACGGACCCAAACTAGTGGCCGCAGTACCAACGAAAAGGAATGATGGGTCGGGACTAGTCCGTAGATAGTGAAGTAGTGAAATAGTAAAAGTAGTAGTAAGTAGTAAGGTATGGGATTAAATTCTGGGGAAAACGAGGGTAAAACACTGGGTGAACGGGGAAAAGACAAACGATCACAACCAGCACTATAAAAAGAGCAGCAACAAACTACTACGAAACCCACACTAAGATGAAGGGAAAGAAATTGAGACGGGGTAGGCTAGAACAGAGAAAGAAGAGACAGAGAGTGTGTGAAGGAGAGGGGGGGAGGGAAGAGGACTATACTAGTAGTAGAAATTGTAGATGGAGGGAAAGGAGCGAGACGAGACGATCATCAAATACTGGCGATGTCAATCCCAGCCCAGTTCCAGACTTATTTTACGGTACACCAACAACACGGGACGGCAGGGGTATTGAGCGTATTTTCCTCCTCCTCCCTCCCTTCCCCTCTCTCCCAACACTGCATCGGATGCCGTAAGGTAAATAACCGCTTCAGCCAGCAGGGTCAGTCAGTCAAAAAATAAAAAACTCAAAATGGTAAACCTATGTTGTTATTTTATTTTTTTTATTCCGACTTATTTATTTTTTTCATCTCTGTCTTTTCTTTTTTTTTGTTTTTTTTTTTTTTTTTTAGCATTTTTACTTTCTTGTCCCGCCCACGTTCGCCGTTGAAAAACTTTGTCTTCTTTTCTTTTTCTTCCTTCGGGAAGTAAATGGGTGAATTTTCCATTGGCCCTGCCCGAGGACATTTGTTTTAGCTGTAGGATTAATATTGATTGACACAATCATTACCGGTGTCAGATATTCTTCCGTTCAGCGGGCAATTAAGGTAACAATCAGCCACTATGATACTAACTACTACCTCAAGTATGCCTGGACCTCGCTCCTCGGCGCCCCCCCCCCCCCCAAAGAAAAGGCCTTACGGAGTAAACAGGTAATAGTAGTTGACAAGTCTCAGAATATATCATCCTGAATCCTGGGATCCGCCTTACGGCTCTCTTCCCGATAGCAATCATACATAGCAATCGGCCCTATGGAACCAAAACCAAGCTTGTGCGTGTGTATGCTGTGTATGTGTAAGTAAGTAGTAGTATGAATTGACATTGACACCTTTCCCATCTGTCGTGTCCCGCCGCCGCAGCTGCAGTAGCAACATCATCGTCATCGTCATCTTCCCCCAGAGTGGATATGGTATATTTAAAAAAAGCAACATGCGTTTGAGATCATGATCGAAGGGAAGATGGAAAAGGGATCATTCCCTTCTCCTTCCTCCCCCCAAAGAGGCAACCGAGGGAGGGGGGAATTGAACGAACCTCCTAAGACTAATCCACAGGATCGTTCGATCCCGAGGCAGTTGAACCAAAGATAGACACTATCATCCTTCGTGGGGGAAAAACGACACGATGCCATTTTGAAGGAATACGCAATAAAAAGAAAAGGAATTATTTCACCCCCCTTCCCCCTTTCGCACAGACATTCAATGGCTCGACTGCCTAACCCATGAGCCCCCAATTGACCGAACTCTCCTCCCCTATTAACCGTCTAGTTAGTCAATTGCCCCTTAAACTAACTACCACCTACGCAGTTCCCCCAACTCCAAGATACCCAAGTGAGTAATAGGTATCACCCAAGATGGGAAAGGGGAAGACAGACTCGGATACAGAAGCAGAGACAGAAGAAAGACAGTGTGAAGATGAGCGGGACTTCAACCGAATCTAGGTATGCTCGATTGCTTTCCCTTTTCGGTCTTAATTGTAATTACTATTATCTGTCGGGGTCCATGGATTGCGCCGTGCGCTGATCGATCGGGCTTTTGCCTAGACATGGACTCGAGATGGACAGAGAGACACACAGAAAGAGAGAGATCCCTCAAGGCACTAAAACTCCTCCGGCGCAACAAAACAACGCACATGGGCTTCCAGCCATGGTTCTAGGGGCTTCCATCGAAATGACAGGGAGGATAAGGGAAAAAAAAATAAAGAGAAAAAGCAAACATGTTGATTAGCGGTCGGAAATCGTCTCCTCGACGCACACATACACACACACACAAAGCTGTTGTTGTCGTTGTTGCTTATGGAATGATGAGCTGAGACGGTAATCTAATGAATGATATGCGTTCTACCTTCCCCAAGACAATTAACTAAACGATGCTGCAATGACCTACAGAGTCCACTTTGGTACAGATTACTATCGGTTATCTATTTCCCCCAAGGGCCCAGAATCAATAACATGATAATTAATCTATCTGACCGTCGAGCACCGAGCTCTCAGCTCGGGACTCTCGGTCAGACGCGATGATCTCACGGGGACTTCCGTTGGGCGAGTATTGGCGGTGGGTTCGACGGAACCACAAAGGGCTGATAGTGAATCAATTATAGGCGATGGATGCGATACAATGTGCAATGGGATCATGGTCAATCGAAGTCATGCATGGACTTCGGCCATTATCTTGGAGGTTTTTTTCCTTTTTTCTCCTACCGGCTGAAGTAAGACAAATCTATCATTGGCACCGTTACTCTCCGACGGACTACTCTTGCGAAAGAGTGAGAGACAGAGGTCCAAATATTCGCGCGTTTGTTCGGGGTAAACCCCATACTGTCAGCAGGCGAGCACGCTGATTGACGGGTTCATTGTGGACATGCATACGTACCTACATGCATGCATGCAGCTACTGGGTAGGTACAGACAGACTTACGGAGCACAGTGCCTAGGACTACCTAGTGCATAAGCAGTCCTGAGACTCTATGAACCCAAACAGCATGACATCCGAACAGCCTCGAATTTGACCGAGGGATGTTTTGTTCCTCCTTTCCTGCCTCTCCCTTGTCCCGACAATACGAGCGAGACGTCAAACTCAGGCACCACCGGATCTTCATTCGCTTAGAGGGAGACTTCGGGGCCCAGTTTCAACGTTTCTCTCCACCGGGCAACAGAAGTCGTGCTAGCCCATAGTTGCAGTGTCTTGACTGGACGCCCGACGGAAGCTTTCTCGGCCTGGCTGAACCTTGTGAACGCCAGAGCGGATCCTGTGTGTCGGGATAAGCTGGTTGACTTGCCAGATTGGTTCGGGGACCCAGAGGGAAGCCACGGGCTGGAAGGGGATGCTTGAACCATGGTTCCGGTAAATGGCAATTGGGTGAAAGGTTGCATCCGCGCCAGGCACAAACAAACATTTTCCAACATGACAGGTATAACTCTAACTCAAAAAGTGATTATTCTCATAACTGCTAGCCAAGGGTGGGAATAACAACATATACACATACATTATACATACATACATACATACATCTACAGCCACAACCCACTAATATCTACTAGTACTTGCGCTCTTCTCCATTGCTGTACTAACTACTGGATCTACCTGCTGGAATTGGAGGACAGCTCCGACGGGAGGGGACGGTGGCAGACGCGAACGGCGCACAGAATCCGCCCAAGCGGTGGTGGATTATTATATCCACTTAACGTGGTGAAATCGACTCATCATATTAAATCGACCCGCGACCATCCTGGTCAGTCCCCATCTTAAAAGAGACAGATTCATGCAGTGACCAGGATGTCCGGGCTTGCGAGACCCAGTGAGGATATGGACAATTAACAGTAGTGCTCCTCTCTGTTCCACCGGGTGCGGTTCAGTCTTAGGTACCGAGGAACACCAAGGAAAATTACCACGCGAGCCACCTGCAAAGTAAATGGTAGTACTGAGTACTAGGGACGCGTTGCTTCCCAGCAAGTGCCATGATTGATTGATTGTTCAGTCGGTCTCCGTCTCCAATGGGTCTTACCTCGGGCCCGAGATGACAGAATTTCCACATGTGCTTCGGCCGTCTCCAACCGACAAAAAGACGTTGGATGAACGGATACTCTTACAGCGTCCGTTGAAAGTCAATTGGAAACGTCATATCAGCTGTCAATTGCTACTTTCCCCATGGTCGGTTATCGTTAGTACCGGAGACTACGGACTCTACGGGGTGGACCTCGGAACCTGGAGGTGAAAAGGAACCATTGCAGGATGAGAAGGAGGGGAAGAAAAGAGGGAGGAGACGGGAAAGGATTCAGATTCAGATGGGTTACTCGATTGAGTCATCCCAGATCTCAGTTCTCAGATTGAGTGCGAACACACCGCTAATATGTTCTCATCTTGACTAACCCAGAACTTGCTTATGCGCCTCTTACATGTACCTGCAGCTCTCGTGCAGCCCGTCACGTTTCCCCCTTCACGTTCCTTGCTTTTTTCTTTTCTTTTTCTTCTCTTACATGGACCGGCGGTCTGGATGTGCAGCCTGCTCGTGGGAGAATCTTCCCAGCCAGCAGGGAAGACGTGTCCAATATGGAGTTCAGTCACTCCATTGACTGGGGCAGCTGTGGACAGGAACACTGCATGAGAATCGGTAGGCATCCGCCTGCTTTCAGCCGTCAATGGCTACTAATAATAATAATGAATAATCCCGACGTAAGAAGCAGTTCTTCCGGTGCAGCTGAGGCTCGTCAGCTGATCCACCGAGGGTCTTTTTTTCCCTCTCCTTACGTATATTTTACTTACATACCCTTCTCCAAACAAGTATTGGAGATACCGGAACAGATACGGATACCCATTATCCGCACCGGCCATACCATACCATACAAGTTCAGGTACTATACTTATCCTCCTCCATCTTTGTGCAGATACCCACAGTAAGGCCATAATGGAGAGCCCCATTGAGAGATAATATATCGCAGATAAGAGAAGCCACACACGCAGAGAGAGAGAAAGAGGGTCGGAGAAAGAGACGGAGCAAGGAAGAAAGAGAGAAAGAAAGAGAAAGAGACTGACCGAAGGAAAAAAAAAAAAAAGCCCCTCTCAGACATACACACACGCACAACCATCACTACAAAGAAAAATCCCACCACCAAACCAACAATTTCCCTCACACACACACACATCTTCCCCCCAAACTAGCCCCCATCCACATCTCAAATCCTCAAACAAAACAACTAACTTCACACATCTCGCTTCAGCCCCAAAAGGCAGGCAGTAACAACACCACACCCAGCCTCCCAACTACTTACTACTACCACACCACTGTCTCAGATCCAACCTTAATAACCACCACTATGTCCATCCCTTTCTTTTCCAAGTTACACCTATCCCCCCCTAGCGTGTAGCACCATCCAACCCAACCCACCCATTTCCACTTCCCCCCTCCCTCCCTTCCCTTGCCCCCAACTTCTTTCTCCATCGTTCGAAGGACTCCTGACGATCCCTGGTGTCTAGACTCGAGACTAGAGACGATAGGTAATAGCCCAGCCCTTTCCTTCGCTGTTACTGTGGGTGGTGGTGGTGGTGCTGGTTTAGTTTAGTTTAGTTTAGTTTTAGTTTAGTTCTACTTAAGTCTACTGTTTTAGTTTGTACCGAGTCAGTACACTAAAACTAAACCAATTTATGACTGAATGGGATGATGGATGGGGGGAGGGAATCGGGGGTTGGTTTCCTTGATTGTTTCTTGATGCGTATCGTGTTCGGTATGCGTGTATTTATTGTATGGGTCGGTATTTAGCTTCTTTATATAAATACTAGTACTTCTACTACTTCTATTTCTATACTCGCTATACATAGGTCAATGATATATATATGATGCTACCTTACTTTACTACCTAGTAATATGATGTAGAGATACGAATAATACTACTACTATACAGGTAGAACACGTCTTGTACACATTTCATGTTCGATTGACTTATTGCATATCTAACAGTACATAACATGCTTACTAGTACTTAGAGAGGTCAAAATGGTTCTATGAGAGCCACTCATATACTAAGTACTACTACACAGCACATCTATAACAGCATCAATGGCTCATTTCATGCTTCGATCATAGTATAGACAAATCTTGCCCCGCCCCCCCCCCCCCCATAAGTAAGTACCGATATAAGTAAGTAGTAGCAGTAGTAATAATATCTGAAGTATCGAACATCCAATCCCAACGCCATCTCTTCAAATACATGAATGGAAAGTTGGAATCAAAGGGGGACAAAAAAAAATAAAAAATAAAAAGAAACACATAGAGAAAGATAACAAGCAAGGCACAACCATCCGTAAAACTACATGTTCCTTCTGCTCTGCTCCGCTCTGCTCTCCTCCCCACCCAACAAACAAGCTCCTAAAGAGGTAGTAGGTAGGTTAAGTAAGATCGATCTAGATCACTCACTCCCTTATTCACTCATCCTCCTTCAGATCCATATCATCATCACCACCATCGTCATTGAACAAGCCATCATCATCGTCTTCGCCCCCATCGCCCCCAGTTGTGGCCCCTTCGCCCCCTCCTCCAGCCACCGCCGCCCCATTATCCTCATCCTCATCCTCATCTTCATCATCATCAGCCACTCGTCGACTGACCTTGGCCCGACGACGCTGCACCACATCCTGCTCTTCTTCATCCTCGTCATCATTCGCCCCAGTATCACGCATCGCATGGTCCTCATCCACCCCCTCCTCCTCGTCATCCGAATCCACCACCATCTCACTACTCTTGTACTTGCTCTGCTGCGCCTTACTACCAGACCGACGTTCCAGACGCCGGCGCTTCTTCGGCGCCGCCGCCGCTTCGCCATCGGAGTCCGGTTCCGAGCTCCTCTCTCTAGAAGGAGAATCGCCCCCATCATTGATGAAGTCGTCCTCGTTGCGCTTCTTCTTGCGCTTAGTAGACGTCATCCTCTTCTTGCGCTTAACCTTAGCACCCGTCTCCGACTCAGTGGTAAGTTCCGCTTCCTCACGCGCACGTTCTTCTTCCGCGCGCTGCTCCGCCAATCGCTGCGCTTCCTCGATCATGCGCTGCCGCTCCTCCGCTACGCGCTGTTTGCGCTCGCGCTCTGCTTCCTGAGCCTTGCGCACTTCTTCTTCGCGCTGGCGCTTTTCGGCTTCACGCGCCTCGCGCGCTTGTTGGAGCTTGGCGGCGTTCTTCTCTTCGTATTCCTTTTGACTTTGGAGCGCGCGCTCGAGTTGCTTCAAGATGGTGCGACCCATGTTGGCGCGCTGTTCCAAGGCGCTGGATGGGTACGGTGGGTTCTTGGCTTGAGCTACGCGGTTGAAGGTCTCCACGGCTTGTTGGAGGCCTTCAGCGGCATCTTGGACGTCTTGGACCGTCTTTTGCGTTTCCGGGAGGCCGTAGGTGAGGGAGGCGATTTGGTTCTGGACGAAGGCGACGTTGAATTCGAGGTGGACTTGGCCCGGAGCGACGGAGTGGGCGCGCTGCGCGTAGTCGAGGGCGGTTTTCATAGCCTGCAGGTTCATCTCTTGCTTGCCCTTGGCAAGCCAGACGCGGCCGAGGCAGGCGAGGATTTGTGCGTCGCGGGCGCGGTCTTTGGATAGTGCGGCTTCGTAGTGCTCGATCGATCGGGTGTATTGGCGGAGCTCGGCGTAGACGTGGCCGAGGTTGAGGTAGACGCTGGCGTCGCGTAATGTGTCACGGATCTTGGAGAAGATGTGCACGGCGGAGGCGTGGTCCTTTTTATCATCGACAAGGGCGATGGCGATACCTTGGGCGGCGTATGCGTTGCGGGGGTCCAGTTGGAGGGCCTTGTCGAAGAACTCGACGGCTCGCTCATACATCTTGCGCCGCTTTTCTTTATCCTGGTCGCTGTCGCGGCGCATATCGCGCGCTGTAGACAAGTGGATGTTGCCCATGCCCGTCAGGGAGTACCGGTCGTGCTTGTCGTAGTATTGCAGGGTGTGTTTGTAGTGGCGCTGTTCGTGGTCCTCAGCCAGGTTGGCTGCCCGCTTCTTGGACTTGCTGAGGTACCAGCCGAACAGGGCGCGTACTTCCAGGTTGGTCGAGTCAGCTTCGTAGAGCTTGGCCATCTTCTTCGGGCCCTCGTCTGTGGGGCTCTGGCGCAGGGCGATGTACGTCAAGCGTGCATTGGCTTCGGTGTAGTCAGCGTGACGCTCGAGGAGACCCTGGTACACCTTCTTGGCTTCTTCCGGCATGTCGGCTGCCTCGTAGGTCCGGCCCAGGTTGAAGCTGATGGTGGTGACGAGCGCGTCGGTGTCGAGCTCGCTTTCCTTCTCCTTGGACCGGACGCAGGCATCCAGCGCTGCTTGGAACATGGTCCGGGCTCGTTCGATCTTCTCAGCTTGATACAGGAAGCATCCCATGTTGTTGAGGAGTTGCGGGGGAAGGTGGACGCGGAGAGCTGCCTTGACCTGCTCTTCATCTACGACACCTTCAGGGCGCTCCTCCTCTGCGACCTCTGCCAATTGCATCTCTTCCAGCTGGGTGAGACACTGCATGCTCTTCTCGGGAGCGCTCTGCTCGTACAGCCGGGCCAGGTACACCAAGACGGACTCGTCGGGCGAGATCTTCTTGGTCTCGTCCTTCCAGAGGGCGCGAACCGATTCCAGAAGGTTGATGGCCTTCTTGATCTCAGCCGACTTGTCTTCCTTGCTGCCGCTTCTCTGCGCCGCGAAGACCTCCTCCGCATGAAGCGCGCCGAGCAGGACCATGCATTCGGCATTCTTCGTCTGCTGGATAATCTTTTCGAGGCGGAATTTGGCTCCGTCGAAGTCCTTGTTGGACACTTGCATCTGTACCGTGCCGAACTTGGCCGGGAGGTATCCCTTCTCACCACCGCCACGAGCCTGGTCGGAGCGGTTGTAATACTCCGCAGCACGCGTCAGGTCGCCTTCATAGTGGGACTTCCGACCAAGGAGATACCAGCCGTCGCTGGCAATCTGCATGACATCGGTGTGTTCGATGGCCTTCCGGGCCAGGGTCTCGACGGTGGAGTAAGCCTTCCGGAGGAGGAAGTACCCGCCAAACAGAGAACAAGTCATGGGGTATTCCTTGTCCAATTTGAACGCCTTCTGCGTGTACTGAGTCATTGCTACCTTGTACAATGAACCGAAGGCCGGGTCTGTCGTTGCATGTCGTGAACTGTCGTAAAGATAGTATACTGCGAGGAGAATATTGGCGACCTTGGAGTCAGGGTTCTGTTTGGCAACACAAAGTCAAGCGGTTAGTAAACAAGGAACTGGTACCAGTGGAATCTGTGTAAAACCCACCAACGCCAGAGCTCGCTCCCAAGCAACCTTGGCCTGCTCTTTGAAGCCCAACTGCCACAAGCAACTGCCGATACCAATCCGCGGGTCGGGATCTGTCAAACTGGGCATCTTCATCAGAACCTTCTGGTAGCCTTCCAGGGCCTCGGCGTATCGGCCGAGCAAGTATTGCGTTCTCGCGCGCCCAAGGATGGCCATGACATTCCGACCACCAAAAGCCTTGGACGACTCATCGAAGCACTTGAGCGCCTGCCGCAGCGATTCTACCCTCTCGGATGTGTCAACGGTGCCCGGGCGAACAGGACGGGGTGGATGTAGCGAGGCGCGCAGCAGCGACAGGACACCTCGCGCCAGGAACAGAGGGGGGAACGCCGGATTCAGTCGTGAAGCCTCGTTCAGAGTCGACGTCGCAAGTTGGAGATAATGATCCTTCGTCTTCGCCTCGGTGTACAATTCTCCCTCGGGTGCAACGCGCGGGGCATTCCGACTCTTCAACATCAACAGCCAGCAAACCCATCCCAGCAGACCGAGTTTCTCTTTCGTGGCTCCATGAGCGACCGACGCGAGACCTTTGTTTAAGATGTCGATGGCATGATCGAGTTGCTTCTGCTTGGCGTATGCCAGCGCGATCGTGACCCAAAAGTTCTTAGCGGCCTTTTCGTTCTCCAACAATGTGCAGAGCTCGGTTGGGTCATCTGGAAGAATCTCTAGGCTGACCTCGACTTCACTGTCGAGGGTGGACGCGGGAATGTCGATGGCGGAGGGAATGTCAGAAAAACGGAGATTGGGCAACGGGTTGGCCGCTGGAAGAGAATCGCCATTCGTGCCATTGGCGTGGCCATTCTGAAGGGACGCCATGGCGTGTGCGGGCACTGCTTTAAGCAATGTGTTGTGTTGTGGATGGGGCAATGGGAAGGATTGCGACTGTTTCGGAGAGGTGAAAGGAGCTTGGCTCGTAGTTCAGCTCAACTCATGATCGGGATGAAGCCAAACTAGAGCGGGGGGTAGAAAGATGCGGTTGAAAGAAGTGTCTTCTTGCCGGGTGGCTAGCAAGAAGAGCGCTCCTAAATCTGTAGCAGTCAGAGGACAAAGCCTGTGGTTGCAGCAGATTGAGATCGATGCTTTCTGAAGCGCTCCGGAGGTTTGGCATGAGAGACAGAGAGAGAGGCTGGCCGGGCCGAGTTTACACCGCCACCGCCCGCTTGCCAGCTGTGGCTTGTCATTCACTCACTGGCACTCTCCGTATGTTTGTGTTTACACAGTGCCAATTTATTTAAATGATGTATTCAAATCAATAGAATATGGTGGAGAATTAATATTATAGCTATATATGGTATGCAGCGGCCATCATACGCTGTATTGAACATTTCTCAATAATTAGTGTTTCATGTAATACACCTGCTCGGTGCTATATATGGATTACACTAGAAAGCTATATCGATATCGTAGAAGAGGAAATCAAAAACTGCCCCAAGACCACGTTCAAAGCAATATAGTGGAGGAGAGAAGCATCTATCCAAGTGACACCCATCACGCCAGTAATGAAAAATAGTCATAATAATACTCTAAGCGCATCTGCTCATGTCATGCAACGGGTTGGTTAGAGTGTCGGTCATAGCACATAACGGCAACATCGATCCACGGTCAAGAAGGCATTCCCACATTAGAATCCCAGGAGCTTGGGCAATTTACAGAGGCACACCGCGCCTAGAAGCACCATGAATATCCGGCCAACCTCGGCCCAGTGTCCCAACCGCACATGTGCCTCAGCATACCCTGCAGCCGCGGCAGTCTTCCGGTCCTCGAATCCATGCCCAACCTCGATAGACCCAGCCAGCTCGGACGGGAACCTCCCTGTCTCGTAGTACTCCTCAAGCAAGTGGTCCTTCTCGGTCCAACGCTCGCGGAGCCACGAGTCAAACTCTTGCTGGTCATCCAGAGGGATCTCGGACACGGCAAAACGTCTCCAATGCATATTGACCGAAGTGGGCGGTCGCCCCTGCAGATACGTCGACCGAAGGGTAAAGTACTTGTCAGGTAGACTACCCTTACTGTTGAGGAAAGTAGTTAGTGGAATGCTCATTCGCTTGCAAGCAAGCGCATCGAGTACTTACGGAGGTCCTTCGTAGGCTACGGTGCAGTCATAGACCCACTCCACTGTCCCGCGCAGCTGCTGTAGACAGAAAAATAAACCAGTGGAGCGGGGAATCAGCTCATGCTTCAAAGGGGAGAGTCCCTGCTTTGCGGCATACTCTGCACTCCGCCGCCTGGTGTTGATTGATAGGTTCGTCCCCTCAGGAAAGATCAGAAGCCACATGGGGTCATATTGCGGGGAGCCTGACTGCGATCCCGTATGCTGAGTCTTCAGCTTCTCCAATCGATGTTGCAGACGGGGCTTGTCGGACAACCATTTGCGAGCCATGAAAATAAAGCCGTAAAAGGTCATACCCTGGCCGATAATAGGAATGTACTTCAAGGATTCCTTAAGGATGATGAAGATGCGGCCGTGCATCGTATTCGTGTATGCCACCCACCACAGATAGATCCAATCAGTATACACCTGGTGATTGGCTATGAGGACCAATCGCTCTGGAAATTGGGTCTTTAAGCGCCCATCCTCTGCGACGTGGACCTGACCCCGTACACTCTTGTCACCGCTGACTCGCACAAAGGTAGGACAGCCCCATTGAGTGAGAGCCGTAATGACCAAGCCAAAGGACTGCTTTGTGTACGCCATATAGGAATAATACCAATCCTTGTTTATCACGTATAGAGGGGAGCCGATGACCTGGGTCGCTAGGATGGCGACGCAGCAGCAGTTGAACCATGTGGCCAGGAGCAAAGAGCGGAGAAGCTGCATCGCAATGCCATGCTTCAAACGGGGTTCCTCATCCTGACTGTCAGAAGGCTGCTTTTTCGGAGCGGCTGTGTGATTCAGTTGAGGGTCATGCTTTCGTTGTCGAACCTCGGAGGTATCCATGATGAAAATCAGTTGTTGGCGACGAGGCGTTACGAAGGGACTTGCAGGCCAACTATATAAGAGAGGATAAAGTTCTAGAGATAATGGAACTGGATCGGGCACTGATTAGCTTTCCCACCCTTGGATCACGCGAGCAACCAGATGCAGCACACTGTACAGGAAAAGCGGTGTCTGCCGGAAGGCCAGGAGTGTTTGTTGTAATGTCGAGAGGGATCGGAGGACAAAGGGACTAACTAACGGAAGCCGTACCTATACCGAGGAGGTAATAATAATAATGAGGGGGATGTAAAAATGAACTAGATTCAAGCCATGTTTTGGGGGGAAGATAATTTGAAAGAGAAAAATAGAGAGAGACGGGAGAGAAGGTTGGTTCCTGTCTCGAGGGAGCAGGAAGCTTGAGCCGGAGCACAGCTCTCAAGTGTCTCAATAGTGTGTGGGCGCATGATCAATGATCTCCAGTCAAAAACCACTACGTCAGTTGGCCCGGCCCTCCCCTCAAGGCGGTCAGCGGAGATCCGGGGGTCTCGATCGGCATCACGCTTGCAGGACTCTTTTCGACGCTTCGGAGATAGATGAAATTTCTCCTCTGTGCCTGATTTTCTTTTTCTTCCTACATATGTTTTATTTTGTGGACCAGACTATTCATACAGAAATTGCAAGAATATAGATGCAGATGTCTACCTCTCTCAACTAAACCTGCAATGTCGGGTCCCCGCGCAACTTTCTCTCACATGCTGGTTTGTAACAATGAATCAGGCCTAGATTGATAATGTGGGCGCTCTAGTCATAACCTAGAAACAAGTCTCGAAGTGAGCTAATATCGGCCTTCTAGAAGAGCGTACATGGTCTTTTTCGATCTATCAACTACTAAAAATGTATTTTGCGAGTATGCGACCACGGCTTGCTCGTATCGGGCCTCCGGTTCGGATGCTTTGGTCACGGAACTTTTCCTCCTCCTCACGACGTTACGAGATTAGAGATGTTGCAACTCTACCAAAACGACTGATACCAAAATACCAAGGTGTGCGTCAACGCAGTGTCGTCTGCGAAATATCTTGAAGCTCTTCCTGATATGCTGACCTGCTTGTGCGCCCCGAGCAGAATCCCAAGAGGGCGATCTCCTTTCCCTCCAATGGCCAGCACCCCCGCGGAATATCTTCGTCGTGAAGAAAGACTATTCTCCGGCCGTCACTGCCTCTCTAATTGAATTTGCCAAGTACGGAGTCCCCAAACCGGCTGACCGAGAAGTCATGGATGCTAACCCCTCACCGGCAATGTAGTCATGCGACGTCTACCTACCCATCGGCCTCGATCATTCTAGAACCCAGTGTCGCAGAGGAGATACACTCGTCACTTCAGTCGCCTGTTTACACCGCCCCTCTCGACCAACTACGACCGGCATTGCATGATAAGGTGGATCTCACCGTTACTCTCGGGGGAGATGGTACGATCCTGCATGCCTCGTCCTTGTTTGCCACGTGCTACAACGTCCCGCCGGTGCTGTCATTTAGCATGGGAACATTGGGCTTCTTGAGTGAATGGAAGTTTGCCGAATACAAGCGCGCATTCCGCGAGGTATACATGTCAGGAGCCGGCGTTGGGGATCGCGCGACGGTGCTGGGAGACTCCCGGCCGGCCTCAGCCGACGAAGCACTGGATCTGGAAGCGAATCCTACTGGATGGTCCTCGGTACGGGGGAAGTCGATGGGCTTAACGCGCGGCGCCCGAATCTTGATGCGCAACCGACTGAAGGTTGGGCTCTTTACGGCAGACGGCAAGCCAGTCCAACGAGAATCCACATCAGCGGCCATGCCAAACGTCTTGAATAACCAAGGAGTGTACGTAATGAATGAGGTGCTCTTGCATCGAGGCAAAGAGCCACATTTGGCGGTGCTGGATGTCTATGTTGGGGGCCGGTTTCTGACGGAAGCCGTGGCTGACGGAATCATTATCTCGACACCGACGGGTAGCACAGCATACAGTCTGAGCAGTGGAGGCAGTATTGTGCATCCACTTGTGCCCGCGGTTCTACTAACACCGATCTGTGCGCGGAGTCTAAGCTTCCGGCCCTTGGTGCTGCCATCCAGTACTCCGATTACCCTCCGACTGAGCGAGAAGAACCGGAGTCGCGAGTTGGAGGTCAGCATTGACGGGGTGAACTTAGGGCAAGGATTGACCGCGGGTATGGAGGCACGAGTATGGGACGAAGAGATGCGACATGGCAAGAATGAATGGCAAGGAGGCGTGCCATGTGTCATGCGAAGAATTACCGGTGGTGAAGCACACGATGGATGGGTTGGAGGCTTGAATGGGTTGTTAAAATTCAACCATCCATTTGGTGAGGAACGATGATTGAAGTACTCAATATGATTGACTACACACCACATGTACTTATACAAAATACCGCAGTGTACTCTGTAGTATGTGTGGCCTGGAAGAGGAGGGTTAAGCGTTAAATATGTAGCATTATTATTAATGACCAAATTTGTATGAATGGACCAAAATTCTCACAATGCCTTTTTAGTAAACGAGGCGATGCATGAAAGAGGCCTTAGTTCCATCTGCACATGCAGCAGCACCACAATTGACATGGACTGTTGCTGAAGCGAGCTGCTGGTCTGATCCAATCAATTCCAGTGCAGTTGGGCTTGACCTGAAAAAAGGGGCGGGAAATCAGGGCCGCTGGTGGGCCTCTCTCTCACTCGCTCTCTCCGTCTTCTTTCTCGCTGTTGGAGACTCGAGACCACCGACCCGTGGGTCCCTCGGTCTCTCTATCCTCACTGGTGGCTGGTACTGGACCAGGATTCTATATGCAGGGTATGTGGTCTGTTTGGCCAGCTAATAGGCTGGCTGCCCGTGTGTGGTTTTGTTGGGTGAGGATTAGGATTAAGATTTCATGCTTACCCATTTGAATTTGTTTAGGGACCGCAAGGAGACGCTGAGGAGCCCCGAATAGCCTCAAGACTAGGAGAATTTAACGATTAGCATGGCTTGTCGGGGCCATCCGCGCGGATGATGTAATTCGGTCCTGGCCATTAATCAATCTGATTCCAACCGACAAGCAATTGCAATCCAAGTGGAGTTGGCTCTGGCGTACGCTTTTTCTGGCTCCCCTTAATCTGGGTCCCGTTGGCCAAGTTTCTATCTCCGATTTGACGCATGCATAGTAGTTAGTGATTTAAAGGGACAATCAAGGAAGTGACCATCAATCAATCAATATATAGGGATTGCGACAGTAAGGATGCATACTCCTCATTGCCTGAGGGGGGGACATCGAAACAACCATTCATTGTCTAATTGGACTCTTTCTAGGGCTGGACTTGATAGTCCTATCCATGATGACCATCCATCCCATTGGATAGGGACTACTACTTGATTCATCGCTTCTCGTAGTTGCACTCGCAGTGAAATGCGTAAGGGCGCTTCTTTTTACTAGGATGGAGAGGTTAATTGTGCATCATCACAATCAGGGGAGAGAAGAGCCCTGGCTGTTTGCTGTTTGCTGCTTCGGATTTAGCTTTGTATATGAAACCTCCCAAGACATGCCCACGACAATCCATTATGATCAAAGTCAAGGACCCATCGATCGTTGTTTGGTGACCCTCTCCTACTCTGTTTGTGGTCAACCAACAGGAATATTTGGAGTAGTGTATTCCAGGGGGGACCGAAGACAGTATTTACTTCTACCAAAATAGCGATTGTCAATTAGTTTATTTTTGCTGGGTTGCATGTAAAGTAGTCAATTCCTCTGCTTCCTTGTCTTGTTCTTTCCTTTTCCTCCTTTCCCTCCTCTTCCCCCCCCCCCCCCAACTTCATTCTATCTTCCGGGGCTTTTTCAGTGATCTGCTTCACAGGGTTGAAGAGGAAGCCCATCACCATCCCTCCAGAGAGAATAATAATAATAATATTCTTGAGGAGAGTTAGAGCCGTGCGCCCCTTGGAGCCGCGGGTGGTGAAACCTCGAGAGCCTTTTGTTCAACTCAACGGCCGGCCTTCCCTTTTTGCCGCCTCCTGTTGGTGCTCCTTCTAACTTCCTACTTACTCCCTCCCTCTTCACACCCTCTCTCTCCCTCTTCCTTATCCTCTTCCCCCTCTTCACGTCTTTCATCCTTCTTCCTCCTCATCATCTTTGTTTTCTCGTTACTCCCCGCGGTTGTATCTTGACTCTCGTTTATTGTTTGCACACCCGCCACCTCCTTTTCATCTGAACCCCAGCACGCCTCGGGTACTTCCCTCTGCCATCGCCTGCATCTCTCCTGCATTGTGTACTTGGCCGCCCTGGTTGGTAACCGCTGGTGTCTCACTGCGTCTGGATATTGGGGTTGTCACCTTCGAGACGTGCAGTTCACGCTCGGAGCTTCCTCGCGGGCGCGAGGCTTCTTTTCTGCGTGAAGATAAACCTACATTTACCCCTCAAGGTATGTTCAGATGTTCAATTAGCTCTGGTTGCTTTCCTTGTTCCATCTCTATCATCCCGCCGCCTATGGAGTAGGTGGTGGAATATAGTTCCCTTGGGGAAGAAGAGGCTCTACCGCATCCACGGGTCACCAGATTGACAGACCCAGCCTTGCACATGCCACAGTTCTCATGCTGACTGGCCTGCAGTGAAGTGCACCTGGAGACTAATCTGGGTGTGTTGTCGGGACCGCCCCTCCCCTTCACATTGTTTGCTCCGTGGATTTCACGGTTGCCCCCCCCCGCCCTCAATCCCCCTGAGGAACCCCCCTTCCCCTCCCAGGGAGTTCCGCGTCTCGGTTTCCACTCCGGCCCAGCTTAATGGCCTCTTATGAAAAGTGAGCCAGACTTCAGTTCCCTGTCCCCCTCTTTCCTACCTATCTACCCACCCCCTTTGGCCCTTCAGCCCCGAATCACTCACAGGTTTCCGCCTGTGATCAATTCCGGGCGCTGCTGACGCGCCCGCAGGATGTACTCCCCAGACCAATTCATGAATCCGGGGCCTGCCCCCCGGCCCCCAGCCGACCGCCCACAACTCAACCTGCCTACCAACCCCTCCAACAACGTGGCTACCTCCTTCAGCCAGATGAGTCTGAATTCCCCGAGTACCCCCGGTCCGGCCAACCTTTCGCTGTTCCCCAACACGAGCACCCCGTCGCTCACGCGCACCAAGACCGATCAGTCGGGCGGAGGAGGCGTCACCGTTATCAAGGAGGGATATGTCCGTTGCAAGGAGGACAAATTTCTGGCGACGTGGAATCAACGATACTTGATCTTGCGCGAATTCCGCCTCGACTTTCTCAAGAATGAAACGGGGAAGATCGTCCTTTCCATTCCGCTGACGGCGGTCACAGGCGTCTCGAGATCGGAGGATACTCGCATGGCTTTCGAGATCATTCGTCTCGCCAACCCCAAGGACGCGAATTCCAAAGCCGCCGTAATCACCCGTGACGTGCCCACCAAGAGCATCACTTGCGAAGTTAAGAGCGATGACGAAATCTACGACTGGATTGACAAGATCTACGAGCGCTGCCCTGGTATGGGAGGGGTAAGCAACCCCACGAACTTCAGCCATCGTGTTCACGTCGGATTCGATCCGCGCACCGGCGCCTTCGTGGGCTTGCCGCCAGAGTGGGAGAAGCTCCTGACCGCGTCCGCAATCACCAAGGAGGATTACAAGAAGAACCCCCAGGCCGTCATTGAGGTCCTGGAATTCTACTCGGACATTAAGATGCGCGAGCAGAACCCTCAGTACTACGCTGGGCTTTCCTCGCCAGCGAACCAGCAGGCGAAGCCCTTCAGCGGCGGCGGGTCCGTGGGCAACTCAATTGCACCCCCAAGACCCCCGCCGCCTGCTCCCGCACAGCGTTTGGACAGCGGTGGCCAGTCGTACTCCAGCCAGTCCCCTGTTTCGTCTCCTTCGCAGTCCAAGTCGGATTCTGATCGTGCTTTGGAGCAACAGCAACAATTGGAGCGGATGAACGAGTTGGCGGATAAGGAGCGTCGCCGTATGGAAGAGGATCGTCGCGCACGTCAGCGGGAAGAGGAGCAGAACCGGCTCGACCAAGAAGCATACAATGCCTCTTTGCCCAAGAGTCGCGTCCCCTTGGCCAAGCAAGAGCTCGGAGGCTACGGCCAGTCCTCCGATGATCGTTACAAGCCCAGCCGTCCCGCCCCGCAGGCCCCTGGCTCCTCTCGCCAGGAGCCTCCGCGCCAGCTGACAGCTCAGCGCCCTGCCCCATCCGCCCCTACCGCCGGACAGCGGCCTGGAGACTACGCCAATGGCTCTGCCAGGGCTGAGCAATCCTCTCCGGGCTCCAGACACCCGGCTCAGGGACAGTCTCCTGCACGGGCTCAGAACAATGGCGTCAAAGCGCAGCCGGCCCAGGGCCCTCCTCCCAGCAAGCTGCCTGCTCCGGTTCAGCCTGTGAAGCCCCTGAACATCGCGAACAAGCAGACCGCGAAGACAAACGTCCCCGATGGGGTCCGCCAAGCCGAGGCTGCCCTGAGCAAGAAGGCAGAGCCCCGCCAGAGAGAAGTGCGCATGTCGAACATGAGCGAGAACGAGGTCATGGATCGCCTGCGTTCTGTCGTCTCCAAGGACAACCCGAACGAGTCTTACAGCAAGCAGCGGAAGATTGGACAGGGTGCCTCCGGATCCGTGTATGTGGCACGCGTTAAGGAGCATGCTACATCCGGCGTTGCGCGGGAGCTATACCGGCAGTACGGTCCCCGTACCCAGGTGGCTATTAAGCAGATGGATTTGCGTAGCCAGCCTCGGAAAGAACTCATTGTCAACGAGATCATTGTCATGAAAGACAGCCAGCATGCGAACATTGTCAACTTCCTTGACTCGTTCCTGCAGGAGCAGAGCAACGAGTTGTGGGTTGTCATGGAGTTCATGGAAGGTGGTGCTCTCACGGATGTCATTGACAACAACCCGGTGATCCAGGAAGATCAAATTGCCACAATTTGTGCAGAGGTGCGTAAATAAAAAAAAAATCGACCCTTATCGGAGACTGATACTAATGATGAGGACCACGAGCAGACCTGCAAGGGATTGGCCCATCTGCACAGCCAGAACATTATCCACCGTGATATCAAGAGTGATAACGTGCTTCTTGACCGGGCTGGTCATGTCAAGATTAGTGAGTAACCCTTCCAGTTCTCCAATGACCCTGGGGAATTGATGCTGACCACTTCTTAGCCGATTTCGGATTCTGTGCTAAGCTCACCGAGTCGAAGAGTAAGCGCGCCACAATGGTCGGTACTCCGTACTGGATGGCGCCCGAGGTGGTTAAGCAGAAGGAGTATGGCCCCAAGGTGGACTGCTGGTCATTGGGTATCATGGCCATCGAAATGATCGAATCCGAGCCCCCATACCTCAATGAGGAGCCGCTCAAGGCGTTGTACCTCATCGCCACCAACGGCACTCCTCGCCTGAAGAAGCCAGAGAAGCTCAGCAAGGAGCTCAAGTCGTTCTTGAGTGTATGTCTCTGTGTCGATGTGCGCAGCCGCGCTACCGCCGATGAATTGTTGGCCCATGATTTCCTCAAGTTGGGCTGCAGCCTCGCGAGCCTGGCGGAGCTGCTCCGTTGGAAGAAGAACAGCGGACAGTGATAAAACTGTGGAGAGGAGAATGTGCAATGGCGATGTTGGTAGCCACATGGTCGCTGCCGGTTGCCTTGTTCCTCTTATGATTTACACCAGATCTTGTTTTCACGCACATATGGGTCACATTTACGCGCCTCCGGTTGATTTTTGCTGCCCCCTAACGACCTGCATTGCAACTCGATTTCTACTTGTGATATCCTCATTGCACAGCTCTGTCGTCTGCAGACTCGGCATAGGTAATTTGGCGTTCTTTCTTGGAGTCGATTCCCCTTTGTGATTCCTCTTACATTCGCAACTAATCTGGTTATCCCACCCTTCCCGCTGTGCGGTTCCTCAATGCTCCGAACCATGCCTGTGAGGCGGCACTTGATGTATGCGTGCAGCTGATCTCTGGCTGCATCTCTGAGACAAAGAAATGCAAGTAGAAGAGAGATCCGAAGTACGATTCACAAAAACTGTGTCTCTGAGTACTGAAGATCAATGATGAGCTGAAATGCTCTGGTATATGAACATGCAACAAAAACCTGTTTTGTTACCCTCATGTACCCGGTCATGTTTGTTTCAATTGACGAGTCCATGATGGAATTCTTGCATTGTGAGCAGCTTTTTAGCAACTACGTCTGCATGGTATAAAAGCGGAAGAGAAGAAAAGATAGGAGGGAAGACAAAATATTGATGGTCGACTGATGCAGCTAAAAAGAAGCGAGCTAGAGGAGGGTACTTGGGAACCAGGGGACTTAGTAAAAAAGAGGATACTATATTTCTTTCTGTGATCATAATAACTACCAGCGGCCCACGGGTCAATGATAATAGTACAGTTGAATGGAACACGGAGCATGATAGCGTACAATCATAGGTATAGTAGGAGGACCAGAAAGGCAGAAAAGGAAAAACAAAGAAAAGAAAGGAGCTATTCATAAACAATCATCGGCACCAGCAAGCACCACATCCAAGAAAGGCAACATGTGCAACGTAAATAACCAACCACAGCCACAGTCACAATCATAGCCACCTACCATTACCCTGCATCAGGCCCACATCCACACATACATACACACATACCAGCCATGATATAGAAGAAAAAGAAAAAAGGGAACAAAACCACAAGAAACGGCATCACAACTCCTCGTGAATGGGCACTTCGGTACACAAATCCCCAAACCTCACCCCCTTGAATATCGACTCCACATCAACATCTTCACCAGATGGCTCATAACCCGCTTGCGTGAGCTGACTGATCCACCGGTGTCGAGTCTCCTCGGAGAGATCTTCCCAGATATGGATACCCGAATCAGTCTCAGAGGAAGATGATGAAGATGGATCAGTGGAGTCAATCCGGAGGGTATTCGTCTCCGGATTACAGTTTATCAGGAGGGATTGACGCCCCTGCTGCTGCTGCTGCTGCTGCTGGAGATCACCCGAGGAGAGTAGGATATCGTTCAGTGAACGGATTTGCGGGGGGTATCCTACTTCTGGAATGGGAGTAGAACTGGTAGTAGGGATAGATGGAGAAGGAGAAGGAGTAAAAGGTTCATAAGGGATAGCGACAGCATCGCGGATACTAGGCGGTAACCAGTCCTTCGCGCCGAGGTAAGGAGGCATGGCGCCACGGATCTCAGTGAAGGCCTGGAGGATGAAGCAGACGGTGAGGATGGAGAGAATGGCAGCGAAGCTGGAGGTGAGGTTTGTCCAGATTTCGGAGTCGCCGGGCATGGAGAGGACGTAGCGTGGGGAGCGGCTTGTCGGGGGACAGGGGGATAAGGGGAGGGTGTGGACGACGACGGTGTTGCCCATGCTGACGGAGGCGAGTTTTATGTATTGTGGGGCGGTTTCGGGGGAGACGGGGAGAGATGGGGAGTGGAAGCGGGAGAAGCAGAGCTTGGTCATGGAGAAGGGGTGGACGTCGCGGAGGGAGGTGTAGGTTTGAAAATGGTTGTAGCGGTTTGTGGAGGGGTTGAATTCGAGGGTGAGGAGCTCGATGGATTGGTCACTGCCGGAGATGGCGATGACGGCTTGTTGTTGGCTTGTGGTGGGGTCGGGGCTGAGGAGGCAGGTGTCGAGGCCGAGGCCAATCTTGATGGTTTTGCGGAGCTTTTTGCGGCGGAGGATGGATGCTTTGGCGCCTTTGGTGGTTGGTTCTTTGGTGGTGGCTATGGCGGAGGTGATGATGGCGGGGCGAAGGTCCAGGAGGACGAGCTCACAGCCTTTGCGGTCTGGGGCGTTTTGGAGGAGGAGAAGGCTGGTTGAGGAGAGGAAGCGGAGGGCGCGGAACTTGGGGCGCATCCGGGGGGATCCCTTGTCGGGGATGGGGGTAGTGTAGACGCATTGTACGTCGGGGGAGGCGTTGGAGCGCGTGTCGGCGGAGATGGTGCAGATGCAGATGTCGACGCCGTTGGTGTAGGCGACGCGGAATTGGCCCTTGTTGCCGGGGACAGGGGTGAGATCGACGTCCTCGGCTTCCTCGTCGCTGTTGAGACGGATTCGTCCGATCACGTCGGATGGACTGGGGGTGGGGGTTGCGCTGAAGAAGACGATCTCGCCGGCCGGGGCGAGACCAGTAGCGATGGCAGCGACACGCGGGGAGGTCGAGTCGGATTGCCAGGGGGAGAGGCGCAGGGTGCGCTGGTAGGTGTCGGGGGAGGCGGCGCCGGAGGAGGGGCCTTTCACAGTGCGAAATAATGATGTTCGCGAAAGCGCGGTGGTTTGTCCATTGTTCGTTGTCTTCTCATTTTCCTTGTTGTTGTCCTTCTCTTTCCGGGTGGGATGATCAATGCGAAAGGAACGCAGATGCTGGTTATTGCCTCGCTTCTGCTCCGCCACGGAACTGTTGATGCCGGCGAGGGCGATGATGGCTTCGTCGTCGGCCTGGACGGCGGCGAGAGAAGTGACTGAGTCCTCATCGCGCGACAAGTTGATGTCGACAACTTCGGAGATTTCGGAGCGCTTGGAGGTATTCAAGAGGGCCTGGGGAATTGACGTATTAGCATGGAGCTGCAGAAGTATACTTTATATCAAGAGGAACTTGCGATTTTGTTGCCGACACCACTACGGCCTTCACCTCCTCCTCCACCGACCAGAAGCAAGCCATGATGACGCGGGTCGAAGTCGGCGGCGAAGAGCGGGCATGAGAGAGTCAGTTTGGCCGAAGGAATGGAGGGAGCCATGTTGGGCGGGTGGGATCCCGGGGGATGGATCGAGTTCAATCCCCGAAAGAAGTAATTATTATCCGAATGGCACGGGAAAGAGATAGATTGTAGGAGGGGGGAGTTGCAGAAGGAGAAGAGAAGGAGAGAAGAAGCGAAGAAGAAGCCAGAATGACGAAGCGGAGAGCATGTCGATCTCTTGGCGATCGGCCGAGGCTCGAATCGATCCCCATCGTTACTTTTTACTGCCAGCAACTCTATTATTGATCGATCTTCTTACTATTCATGTAATCAATGAATTGAATATGGTCTAGGGCCATTCTTCAGCCCATCTAAATAGACAGCGTTCTTTTGGTTTAAATTAGACAAATTCTCTCTCCATCTACTCAACCTCCTGGCCAGTGAACTCGGGCAGGCGCTTGCGCACATCCTCCCAAGTCTCCTCACCCTCCACCAGGGACTTGATAGCCTGGGCAATCTCGTCCTCGCTGGCACGAACCTGCTTGGTCGAGTCACGGTCACGCAGGGTGAAAGTGTTGTCCTTGACGGACTGGAAGTCGACCGTCACACCAAACGGCGTACCCAACTCGTCGTTGCGCGCATAGCGCTTACCGATACTGGCGGAAGAGTCATCCACACGGTTGGACACTCCCATGCGACGCAGCTTAGTCGTCAGGCGCTGCACCAGCGGCGCGAACGACTGGTGCGTCGACAGCGGCACGATCAGCACCTTGGTCGGGGCAATCGCGGGAGGGAAGGACAGGACCTAGCAATTCATCCATTAGCATCACCAATCAACCATAGTAATAAAAAAAAAATAAAAAAAAAAAAAAGAAACCAAGGTCAGAAGAGGGAAGGAAACTTACACCACGGGCCTCATCACCCTCACGGGACCAGTAGACCTGCTCGATCATGCTGTACAGGATACGACCAATACCGAACGAGGGCTCAATGACATTAGGAGTGTACTCGCGCACATTCTCCACGCGCGTGCGCTTCTCGATCTTGATCAACTCCTTGTCCAGCTCAACCTTGCCGCCAGCGACACCCTCAACTTCCACCTCGATCTTGCCGGTCTGCTCAAGGTCGAGCGACAGCTTCTCGCGCAGCTCCTGCGACAGAGCATCAATCGCCGCCGTGACGGTCTTGCCGTCCTTCTTGAAGCGGGGACCGAACTTCTTCTTGTCCAGGTCAATCTGCCACTCCTCCACCTTGAGGGGCTCCGCCCGAGTCTCACGGACAACGAGCGGGGCGCCGGTCTTGTTCTTGTGCACGGTCAAATCGTAGGCACTACGGTCAGCGCAGCCCACACACTCGATCCAGCCGTAGCTGGTGTGCAGCTCGGCATCCCAGCAGTCAGTGGCGTAGTGAGCCATCTCGTTAGCCATGTGCTGGCGGAAGCGCAGCTTCTTGGGGTCCACACCCAGCTTGAGCAGGAACAGCTGGATACGAGCCAGGAAGTAACCCAGGGTCTCGTTGTCGACGAGGCCAGTCTCGACGGCCTTGCCGATAGTCATCTCCTCGGTCTTGGTGCTGCCGGACAGCTGGATGTCGCGGTTGAGCAGGGTCATCTTGACGTCCTTGACCTCCTCGAAGCGGGCGTGCTTCTTGCCACCCTGGGGGTCGACAAAGTGCTCGATCTCAGCCATCAGGAACTCACGCACCCGCAGCAGACCGGCGCGCGGGGAGATCTCGTTCCGGAAGGACTTGCCGATGGAGGCAGAGGCGAAGGGCATAGACTGCTGGTTGAACTCGAGCAGCTTCTGGAAGTTGAGGAACTGACCCTGAGCGGTCTCCGGGCGCAGGTAGCCGGGCATGTTGCTGCTGGGGCCGATCGAGGTCTGGAACATCAGGTTGAAGGCCACAGGGGGCAGGAGGTTGCCATCGGTGGTGGGGTTGCGGATGTCGTACTTGGCGATGATCTTCTCGAGTTCGGGGCCGTCGAAGTTGTCGATCTGGGCGAGGGTCTCCTCGTACTCCTTGACAACGGCGTCGTCCAGCTTAACCGCCTTGGTCTGCTTGACCTTCTTCTTCTTCTTGGCCTCCTTCTCCTCGTCCACCTCAACCTTCTGGCCACGGGCCTCCTTGTCACCCTTCAGACGGGCCTCGAGTACCTCCTCGACCAAGTGGTCGGCGCGGAAGATCTCGCCGGTCTTGGGGTCCTTGCACATCCAGTCGGCGAACTTGTCGACGTGACCACTGGTCTTCAGGATCTCGTGCGGGGTGAGCATGGTGCAGTCGACCTCGAGCATGTCCTCCTCCAGGACGAAGTGCTTGCGCCACAGATCGACAATGTTGTTCAGGACGGCGCAACCGGGCGGGCCATAGTCGTAGAGACCGGAGACACCACCGTAGATCTCGAAGGAAGGGGTATAGAAGAGACGGCGGCGCAGCATAGAGTCCAAGACGGACCGGTCGACGACCTGGCCGGTCTTGGTGGAGAGGGAAGCCATTTTGGTGGACTTCTTTTTGGAGGACGGCTGAGGAAGATGATGTCGCGTACGGGGGAGGGAGGTGGAAAAGGAACGGGGAGGAAGAATAAAGGAGGAGGAGGAGGAGCTGGCGCAAGTGGGGGGAAGACGAAAAGCCAGAAGTTGGCGATGAAGAAGACGATTGGGATGGCGGGGACAAAAAGACCGAAAAGAGGGACCCAATGCCCGCCGACACCTCAGGCCGCCCAGCCGCTGAGCGCTGCTGCAGTGACTCATCCGCTTGCCCTTTTGTTGAACTCTCCACCAATCCTCAAGTTTGCCGTCGATAAGGAATGCGGATACAAGGGACTTATGCGGGGCTGTAATGCCCTTGATTCTCTTTTGGCGAATTACCCTCCTTCTTCCGCCAAATAATCACGAAAGGAATCCAATTCCTGGCCGATCGCGAGAAAGCTGAACTTCCCTTCATTTCCCAATCGAGCCGCGCCCTGGCTGACTCAGCGTGCCTATTCTCACCGCCGGATGAACACTTGATCCGCCAGATTTTTTTGGATAGCCCAAACGGGTAATCCAATATTGATATCTTCATTTGCTTCGACTCAACTACTTCCTACCCCTCCATCGTTCACCCCAATTCCAGCAAACGATGGTTTCGAAGAAAGCTTCCCACCGGCCGCCTCCGGGCGTCGGTCTCGACGCGAAGCCCCGCAACAAGATCCAGCGCAAACTCCTCCACATCAAGCGCAAGCGCGCCAAGGACTCTTCTCGCCGTGCCGAACGATATGCTTTCAAGAAGGAAGAGGCCAAGAACCCCAAGCTGAAGGAGGAGCGTCTGAAGCGCAACATCCCCCTGACCATCGACCGCAAGCGAGTCTGGGATGACGCCGGCAGCGACGTCGAGGACGGTCTGGGACTGAGCGTGGACGTCGAGCGCATCAAGCGGCGCAAGCAAGAGGAAGACGAAGAGCTGAACCGGCCCCTGAACGAGGACGAGCAATCCTCCGATGCCGAAGAAGAAGGATCAGAGGATGACGAGGACGACGTGGACAGCATGCTCGCCAGCAGCGACGAGGAAGACGAAGACGCCTCGGACGACGACGACGACGACGAAGACGAAGACTCCGGCAAGAAGAAATCGAAATCCTCCTCCGACTCGACTCGCGGCCGCAGCAAATCATCCCTCCCCACAGCCACAGAGCGCGCCACCAGCCCCTCCCAATCGACCAAGAGCACCAACCTAAATCTCGTCCCCGAAGCCCTAGCGTCCAAATTCCCCTCCCTCTTCAGCACCGAGAACCCCAAGTCCCCTAAGATCCTCATCACGACGTCTCTTAACTCGTCTCTCCACCACGAAGCCGAGCTTCTCACCGACTTGTTCCCAAACTCCGTCTACGTCCGCCGCACGCGCCACCGCTTCGCGCACCAGTTCTCCATTCGCGAGATCTCCAAGTTCGCCACGAACCGCAACTTTACGGCGGTGGTGATCCTCCGCGAAGACCAGAAGAAGCCCGCCGGTCTGGACATCGTGCATCTTCCCACTGGACCCATGTTCCACTTCTCCATGACGAACTGGGTCGAGGGCAAGCGCATCCCGGGTCACGGACGTGCCACGGACCACTGGCCCGAGCTGATTCTGAATAACTTCCGCACGCCGCTGGGTCTGTTGACGGCGCATTTGTTCCGGACGTTGTTCCCGCCGCAGCCTGATATTGAGGGCCGGCAGGTCGTGACGGTGCTGAATAGTCGTGATTACTTGTTCTTCCGTCGTCATCGGTATGTGTTCCGGGAGAAGAGGGAGACGGAGAAGGCGGTTGTGGGTTCCGATGGAAAGGAGATGAAGGGCGCGGAGGGGATTAGAGCGGGTATGCAGGAATTGGGACCCCGGTTTACGTTGAAGTTGCGCAGAGTTGATAAGGGGATCCAGAGAGCCAGTGGGCAGGAGTGGGAGTGGAAGGGGCAGATGGAGAAGACAAGGACGAAATTCCAGCTGTAGTTCTTGCTCTCTTTCTTGCTTCCTACCTTGTTTGGTAGCTGCCCGCTGTTGTCTTTGTTTTGTTTTGTCTAGCCTATTGATGTTGTGCTCGACTGCATTGGGTTCGGGGCGTTAGGATAAAAGAGGTCTCTTCTGCTGTTATTTGTTCACTTGCTTTCTATTGTTGTATGTACGTTGGAGATATCACATCTATATGGTCTGTGCGAGAGAATAGATACAAAAGTCTGAACTGTCTCCATTGGAGGTTATATCTTCAAGATAAAGCCTGACCAAAGTCCCATACCGATCCACGGTATGGTATAAGTGATAATAAAATCATAATCATAAGGTCATCAACAGAATAAGATAAAGAGGGGAGGAGATGGATATCCGCATATTCTGCTCACGTCAATGGCTTCCGCCCCGTCACGATCTTCACCCTCGCACTAATGCGATACACGCCTTGCAAGATTTCCGCACGCACCTGGTCACATAGTTCGCGCACTTCCTCCGCCACCCAGCCATACGTAGTGGTCAGGGCACGCAGACTATATGATTCCAGGCCCTCCAATAAGGCAATGAGGCCCATCTTGCCGACGGTTCGGTCTTGCGGCGACTCGGGCCACAGACCGATGGGGAACGTGTACTCGCGGACATCAATATCGATGAACCCCTGAGCACGGAAGAGCGCGGGCTGGAGATGGCTCAGATCGCGTAGATAACCTGCTGAGTAGTCTGCGGAGCGGAGGGCGGAGGCAAAGAGACGTAGGTAGGAGTTCGGCGGGAGAGATATCATGGTTTCAGCGGCGAAGTCGGTATCTGCGACTTCGAGGTAGCCGCCGGGAGCGAGGTGGTCAAAGGCTTGCTGGTAGATAAAGGACCAGTCGGGAAAGGCACCGGAGAGGCCGCGGAGGTGGATGAGGTCGAAAGGGATGTCGTAGGCCCATTCGTCGCGGGCGTCGTCGAGGTGGAAGGAGAGGTTGGGGAGGTCGACATGGCCGAGGGCGTTGTCGAAGACGCCGATGTCAGAAGCAATGATGGTGCCGTGGGGGTAGGCATGGCTCATTTCAATGGCCCAGTCACCGGGACCGGTGCCGATGTCGAGGACGCGAGGCGCGTTGGTAACTATGGGGGCGGCGGTTAAATGTCCGTCTAGGAGGATGAGGTAGATCTGGTGGACGATGTTCAGACGGGTTCGTTCGGGTTCATCGTTCGGCATGTGGTATGAATCGTTGGGGTAGCGACGGTTATTCTCTTCGTAGATGTCGAGCTGGTGTGTCTCATACGAGTTGCTGGTGGTGGTGGTGGTGTATGGTTAGCAACTCCACTGGGGGTTGGCATTGCAGGATACCAAGAAAGGCATTGCATACATGGATGCTTCGTCCGAGTCTGCATCTGACTCGGAGTTGGACTCGGGATCCGGAGGAGGCTTGGTCCATGATTGCTTCTGCGCATTCTCATTCTCGTCGGGCTCGACGATTGGCTCGTTTTGGCCCAACGGCTGGAGATCTTTTGCCTCCATGACATGACGAAGTTGAGAGGGGTGTTCGGTTAGAAGGGTGTGAAGGGTGTGGCGTGCTCGGGTTTATAGAGAAGCTTCTCTTGAAGACAGAGGCCAACGTCAGGCCCGATCAAGCTTAGGGCAGCACTTTCTGTAGCAACTCTCAAGGTGCAACCACAATCAGGATCATACGAGGCCGTCAAACATGTGCCACGAGTGCTAATAGCGAGCTTCACTGACACGTAGGAGGTGAATAGTTCATCGTGTCTGTTCCAGCCCAAGACCACAGGGAGGAAGAAAAAGCAAAGATGGCGGAAGATGCCGAGAATGACGCAGTCGGTCCAGGTAGTGCTGGAGGGAACAAACTCGGAGGTTTCTCAACGGCTTGGGAAGCACGAGAAATTGGACGACGGACCCCGGATGGTCGGAATATAGTACATTGGCTGGCCTAGTGAGAGGAACTCGATCAGGTGGGCTGTGGACAGTGAGGAAGAGGAAGAGTAAAAAGCCGGAGAATAGAATGGAAAGATGGCATAGAAGCTATGCCAGCTTAGAAGGGCAGTTGATCAGCAACCAAGGCCGTGATAGACGACCCAAGGCCGCTGGACTAGTTCGTGCACCGCGCATGCTGAGAGGCCGAGAGAAGTCTCTAGACCCATCGATGCAGAGGCAGACTGGAAGGCCCCGTTCTGATCGACGGGAACGGGCCAGTTTCTGGGAAACCAACTGCAGTGCGACTAGGCAAAAGCACACGAGACGCCATACGCCATGCAGCCAGCGGTCCTTTCATTTCCCCGTTTTGTGGCAGCCGGGGTGGTCGTTCCCTAGTCCTGGATCGATTTTGGCCCGATCGCCTGGCTTAGTCTGGGAGTGTCGGGGGGAAGAGATGAGACGCTTAGGCCGATAGGCTAAAGGGACAGTTCGGGCGGTCATCTTGTAATTGTAGCCTTGTGAATTCTGTTTTTAGTGCAAGTGTGGCGTCTGGCACAGCCTGACGCTGAGGCTGCAGGGACAAGGGTTTGTATGGTATTTGGTCGAGCATTTCTCCACATGAGATCCATAGGTAGCAGCTTTGCTATTAGTTAATTACTAACAGTTAGATATGTGAGTCAGAAAGTGACTCAACTCAGCGGGATAAGCATGCAAGTAACTCGGGTGGTCCTGTTGATAGAAGTAAGAAGGAAGTATACAGTTCCTGCGATGATGAAATGAGTAGCAGTCAGTATAGTATAAAAAAGAACCCCAAACCCACACCAGTAAAATGATGATGACCTCAGAAATAAATCATCATATCCACACAAGACATATATGCCATGGACACCAATTCATCCCAATCAAGTGGAAACAGCAAAGCAAAGCGAAACAAAAGCAAGTTCCCGTCGATGCATGAAGCAGTAGTGCTGCACAGCGCCCAAACCACGGAACAGGAACAGGAACAAGAAGAAGAACATCACCACCAACCATCCGCAAAATCCACCACCACCACCACCACCACCACCACAACTACCCCCATCATCCCACCGAACCACAACCCCGACACCACACCTTCACCCTCAATGACCGCCCCTCCCCCCTCAAAACCCCCCGACGCTTCCTCTTCATCGCCTCAATCGGCAATCCACGCCCATACCGCACGACGCGACACAGCGCCGGCCACATCCTCCTCGAAGCCCTGACGCCACTTCTCCCACGCCGAGTCCCTCTCGTGGGCACCTCTCCCAACAATGGCACCATAATCAACCCATTATTCTACAAAACCTACACGAGCCCATCATACATGAACGAATCGGGTCCTAAACTCCTCCGCAACTTCCAATCGTGGCTCTCATCCACCCAAACCGAAATATACCAGAAGATCGTGCAGCCGGGAAATGTACTCTCCACAAACCCAGAATCAGACGCTACAGCAGCAGAATGGCATCTCCGGGGCGCTGACCCGACAACCCTCCGAAACTTCTCCCCGACACTAGTCATCCTACATGATGAATTGGAGGCGCCGCTGGGAAAAGTCCGGGTGAAGAGAGGTGGGCCCGAGAAGGCGAGTTTGAGGGGACATCGGGGATTGATTAGTTCGTTTGAGAGTTTGAGGGGCAAGGGGATGTATCCTCCCAATCCGAAGAAGAATGTACTTGGGGCCGGGGTGGATTTGTCGGTCTTGAGGATTGGGGTGGGGATTGGGAGGCCCGAGACCAGGGATCGAGGGGGTGTTGCGAAGTATGTCCTGTCGGAGATGAGTGAGCAGGAGCTGAAGGCTGTGAGGGCTGCCGCGGGGCCGGTTTTGGAGGTGTTGGTGGATGAGTTGTATAGGGATGGTGCGGAGTGATTCTTTTGGGGGGATCTTTTGGTGCTTATGGCCGTTGTATGATATTATTACTTATTGTGTAATTATAGATAGATCAGATAGAGATGGCTTAGAGATACCCTTATATTATTAGACTTGCTTTTCCCTCTGCAGTCTACTCTTTCATCTACGTGCATATGGATTCGACTCAAGAACACTCTCAAAAGAAATAGTGTTAACAATGATGCCAAGGCTTGGATGCAGAATGATTACAGCGGCTATCATCACACGCAATTGAAGAAAACAGACAAGCAAAGAATTGAACTCCCACTCCAAAGTACCACGAACTATCAGACCGTGCCTGCTATGCTCAAATCCCGAATCTCCTGCAACACCTCTTCCACCCGGTTGTCCAGGTCTCCCCGAGCATACTGATCCCTCGTTTCCGCATCCAAGTACTGTTGCACCTGCGCCATGCGCGAGTATGCCTCCGCGCAGAACCGCAGTTGAATCTTCACCAGGGCCTCGAAGCTAGGATCCAGGTACGGCACTCGCAGGTCGATGAGCTGGGGCAGTTCAGTGAAGAGCTGTTCGTTCAACTGCTCATACGCTTGCTTGGCGATTTCCGTCTCGCGCTCCGTCCGGGGCAGTTTCGTCGCATCCTTATCGGGCTTCTCAACCAGCTTCTTGACCTTGGCGCGCATCGAATCGTAATCGAGTAACTTGTGGTTGCGCTTCTTGATGCACTCGTTGATATCCGGGAAGTAGGCACAGAACCGAGAGATGGGTTCCAACACAGTCGAGCTATAAAATACCAGTCAACCAATGAGTCGCCACGCCCAAAAGGGCATCCATAGCAATGACTCCAAAACGTACCGGTACGGGCCGTCCAGCGCCTTGATCGTTTCCGCATCCAGATCCTCCACAGCCTGCTTATAACTCCGACTCACTCCGTCGTTGGTTCCAGCATCACCATAGAAGGCATCAATAGTCTCAGCGATCCGCATCTGCGAGGCAGTCATAGCTATCCAGCACCGTCCAACGTCAGCATCCCGCCTCCGCATCATATATTCTATATAGCGACCAAAGTATCAAAACACACCTCGTAGCGAATCCAAGTATCCCTTTGCCTCTTTCTGTAACCGATTTGCGGCGGCTTCCATCGTCCGGTACCGACTATATCGCATCGTGTCCACGTCAGTCAAACAAGTTGCATCCCCTTTCCAATCAGTCGGACAATCCATACCGCTCTTCAATCTCATAATCGCGATCACTTGTGCGCTCCACATGTCCTGTTTAACCCAAGCCAATGCGTCAGTATATTCCTTGCAAAACCACCAAGCAATATGTCGTAGAGGTATTCGGCCCGACTCGAGCGGGGTTGTGATCCAACATACCCGTCTTCATCATCACCTGCGTGGTAGCGCGGTTGACATTTTTCTTGAACCCTGTAGACCCGGTCAGAATGACAATTCAGGTAGGGATGGGTGCCTGTACGGCGCAGGATCCATCGATAGGTAGGAAACGGGAGTATTCAGCGCACCTGCCCAGGACATGATGGCAACTTCAGTAGCGGTCGGTCGGGGGGGGGTCCGGTAACCAGTTAGGGGGTGGGGTGTGTATGTTCGAAATCAAAGAACCGGTAACTCTCGTAGGTGGAGGACAAAGTGGGTTACTGGATATAGTAGACGTATAATGTGAGGAGAGGGGGAAGGAGAATAGACACAGGGTTGATTGAATGAATGCGAAAGGCCCTCAGAAAGCAAGATGCCCGATGCGGGACGGAATGATGTTCGGAGACGTTCGATTGATTGATTGATTGGCGTGGCTGTGGCTGTGCACTTTTCTGCCTGGATCTCGTGGCTGTGTCATAATTATTTACTAAATCTTACTGTTCGGTTGTTTAACTTACAGCCCTACGAAATGGAAAGTGTAAAATTACCCGCAAGAATTTACGAACCAGCCGATTTGAACTTCCGACTGCCGGTTCTGCTCGTTTCTGACGTCATAAGGCCGGCCCCTCCTCTCCGTGTGATTAATGGAATCTGGCAGCCTGCAATCCGAGACTTCTCCAGGCAGATGGGGATGGTGATGTCAAAGAGGAAGGGGGTGGGTTCGGTTTGCCTTGTGCCTGAGTATGTCTTTGGATGTAGCTGGAGACGTCATGATGCCAGCCAAATCGAGCGACCATCATGATGTGACACAAGATACATCGGAGTTTCGATGTCCTGTTGCCCTATGAGGCAATCAGAATGTATCCTACACCAACTTCATGCCGCATAATGCACTTCATGCGATGGCATTAAACTTCATGTAATAGTGTAGCATTTATCTGGAGTGCATTCGAGATTCTGACAAGTGACAGTAAAAGTTGTAAGCGAAAGTATGGGGTACATGCAACCCTGATCTCGATGTTTGTGGTCGCACAAACATTCTTCACGCTCCCAATACCCCTTAGGCAAGCGCACACTATTCAAAATCACCTGCAGCTCGATGCTTCTTCTGCCGCGGCTATAGTATACTAGGATGAGCATCTTATTCATGCGAAGCGATCCGTGTTTATCCGCGTTTGTCGGGATCCGTCCTCTAAAGACCGCAAAGTGTACCAGTGACGGGGCAAGTCTGGTATTCATCGCTCCAGCATTCCTGGAGATAGTGGATTAGTATACCGAAGGGATCAATTCTCTTGTAAAACACATTTAGCAGCAACTTCAATGGACAAACTGGCACTTGAAGATTCAAAAGGGAGGTGTTGATGATATACAAGAACGAGGGCACTAAATTGACTTCGCAATGAAAGACAATTTGCCAAGTATAATCGACATCGGCACCTCCCTTAGTTTGGGATCCAGACCCAAATCCTACTCGATGAGGCTAGTATGGCCAGCCTTGCATGGCTGACATCCACCTGATTTCCATTCGGCCTTCAGGTGGGTGTTCCTTACCTTCAGGGTCGTGGTCGTTGGCGGCCCTTGATTGCCCATAATTAGTCTCGGCTTAGGTAAAAAATGGTGCTGCCTGTCCGGGTTGCACGACGTGATCCTTCTGGGCGAGGACAACTGCATAGGGCTGGCCAGACTGCCGAGGGCGGCATTCCACAACGGGATTGGGCAGTGGCTCGAACAAAGGGGGATGAATCATGCATGCTTGTGTTGGGTTGAAGACGGTCAGGAGAATTAGTAATGATACATAATAGAAAGGGAAAGTGCTTCAACATAGATATGCAGTGTTGTGGTTTTCGTCCAGCAGACAAAACAATCCCCAATACCTATCCATTCCAACAGACCAGACTCACCTGCTGAGCGCTGCTGAGCTGTTCGAGCTCCACCAGGGCAGGGTTTCAGCAAGCTAGCCTTCCGAGGATTGGCTCCTATTGAACTACGGGCTCGCGTTCCTTTTTGGGGCTGCATGATGCGCCAAGCAAGCTTGATCTGGCTCGCGTCCGGCGTCCCCTCCGTTTGCAGCTCCGTGTACGGCGCATGTTTTGTTATGATGACCCTTATTGATTGGGCAGCCGGCCTACCTGAGGCACCTGATGCATCTGATGCATACACCCTTCTCAGGCATACCTAGGTACATTAATTGGAGACTTCCAGACCTCCAGACCGATTCTCTTATCCATTGGCATGGAGTGTTGAGGATTCGAGAATGCTGTGCCTCTTGGCTGCCTAGGAAATCTTGGCATCGATAGAAGTATGGGCCCAAGACAATAGTAAGAAGTCGCTCACGCATCGGCCGCTATGCTAGTTGTACTTTCGATTCAGAAGTTCCTCATGCAAACATTATTGGACGGATCCACACCTTTCACCATCCTGGTGTGAGAATTTTTCTTCGGCTGCTGGATGAAGGTTGGCCCTATTGCAGACGTCGCCGTGTAACAATTTCCAGCTGTTGAAAAGGGATGGTCAGAAGCTGGCCTACCTTGCACAGAGCCCGTCGCTTGCATGGTAATATGGTCGTAAAATGTAGCATTTTATTCACCCTAGACGTCGACTAGACGTGGCGTCAGCAGCAAGTAGAATAGGGGGCAGCCAACAACTGTCGAGACGCACTCAAGAGTCATCATCTGGTATCGGCCGACCGACTGGAAGGGGGAAAAAGTCTGTTTAGCGTGGGAAGCCCCATACTTCCAAGGCCAAGCGGACGCTGCCAACTGTACTCCAGCCGGTCATAGAGCTCCTGGAGCCATCTGCTGCTGGGTCACTCAGAGGTGCTGCAGCAACGACATAAATGATAGTACCGGCACTAGGTTTGAACCAGAGGTCTGCTAGTAGGGTCGAGTCATGAGTCTGTCTACTCTGGGGGTAGTCATAGGGAGATGTAGGGGGATAGAAAGGCTGATGGGTGGGTAATATCATATACGATGAGGTTAGGAAGGAACCATCGAGCAATACTTCCTGCTCCTGCGGCGTCAGGCCAACTCACCTGACCGCCGCCGGCTCATCCCAAAACGTCTCCCCAAAAATGATGCTTCAAACTCAAATAATGCGCAGGTTTGATTCGTAGATATGATGCGGATGCTCATAGTTATACTGGAATATGTTCTGCAAATGGGTATCCCAAGATAAATCACACCGCCCATACTAATACAACCTCCCGATGCTACATCTCACAAAACCCATAATGCTCCAACACCGTCCCATGAGGATGAATATATGCGCGCCCAGACCCGAAAAGGTGGAAGCCGGCCAGCATGATCAACATAAACCGGGCAGAAAGGGAAATTCCCCTGTCGGTGTTTGTCATTCAGCCACTGACATGGCCCATAAAAAACGCATATAGGGAATGAGACCAATCAAAGAATGCCTGAGATGCATGAAATGCGAAAGAAAAGGTATCGAACGTAGGAGAGAAACCATGGCGAACAAAAAAGATATGTGGGAGGAATGAAAAGGCGGCTCATAGGTCATGACTCTTCGTTGCATTGGCATGAAAACATGACGACCAAACTAAGCCCATAAGCTAGTAGGCAGATGAAAAAGAAGAAAGACAGAAAACATGCGCCGGTATAGTAGTGTAAAATCAAGGTGCCTCCTTCTATAGAACAGCTCAGAAGGACCGGGAATAAATAAAATAAACAACCCTCCCAAAAGGACCGGGAGAAACACATAAACCACCCGGGTTAATGGTTTTAAGCAGTCGCCAGAGGCAGACAAACAGAAACAGGCAGACCACCATCAGGAATACACAGTCCGGAACAACGTCCGATCAATCCGTCGAGACCATGTATCAGTATCCTTCCTCGCCAGCCTTGCACAGCTTGATCTCGCGAACCCACTCGGATTTCAAGACTTGCGAGGCGTTGATACGGCGGGAAGGATTGGGGTCCAGAATCGAGTAGATCACGTTTCGGCAACGCGCCTGGGAGACATTGTGAGCCAGTGTCAACTTGAAGCGAGGGGTTCGCTCAACACTTACCCGATGCAGAGTTTCAATGGGAGCGTAACCATCCTCATGCTTACGACCCTCCAGATAGCGTTGGTAAAATTCATCCTCATCCTTGCGGGCCACACGCCAGAGATGGCGTCCAGTCCTCATGGCCATGTAAATAACACCCGTCGCCCATACGTCCACCGCCCGAGGGTCGAATTCCTTCTCGACGTATTCCTCCGGGGCGATGTAAGGGGCTGAACCACAGAGGCCCGCAGTCATGTGAGCTTCCTTTTCCCATGCCATGCGGAAGCATTCACCATTTCCGAAATCTGTAATTTTGAGAGCTCCGTGGGTGGTCAATAACAGGTTCTCAGGCTTCAGGTCACGGTGGGCAACACCCATTTCGTGCATGTATTCCACGCCACGCATAAGCTGCTTGAAAAAGCAATCCGCCTCGGCCACTTCCAGTTTTCCGGCCGCCAACACGAGGGTATAGAGATCGCCTCCAGCGCAGTACTCCATCACCTCACAGTAGTCACCTTTGGCATCCTGTAGAAGATCAAGGGTGTGAATGACGTTGGGGTGGCGAAGGGAAGAGGAAATGCAAAATTCCGAAGTTAATCGCTTCTGATACTTCTTCGTCGTCTCCTGTGGCCGACGACGGAACTCTTTCACGGCATACAGCTGTTCAACTTTCGAGTCTCTCGGGTCCACCTTGTGGGAAATCCGAACAATACCGAAGGCGCCACGGCCAACGATTTCCTGGCATTTTCCGTATTTGTCAACCAGCGAAGCGGTGGCGTTGGGGCCGCCCTTCTTGTCGGCGGCTAGCTTATCCCGTTCGTTTTTAAACTGGTCGATCCATGTAGACATAAGTGATAGCTGTTGCTCGTCCACGTGATCATCCTTCTTCCTGCCACCGCCCAGCATGTCACGTAGTAGATCCGTCAGCTTCTCCTGTCGTCTTGCGCTGCGGAGGTGATGGTTATGAGTGCCATCTCCGGGCAACTCGAATCGTTTGTGAACGGGGGCAGCTTCTTTATTATCTTTGCCATTGCTGGACTTTGGCTTCTTCTCGGCCTCCTCTTTCGTAGACGCCTGTCGCGAGGGGGCTCTGGAGGATGGCTTGGAGTTAGGCTTGGAGGAGGGCTTAGAGGTGGGCTTGGATTGTTTGATGCTGGCGTTCGAGGGAGCTTTAATGCTTTCTGTACTGCTGTCTGAGAAGTCGCGATGCGATTCCTGCTCTTTCGGAGTCGACTTCCCAGTATTGGAGAACATGCGAGAGATGCGATTGGCCATGGTAGGTCTAGCGATCTTTGCGGGGGTGGGAGGAACGGGGAGGACGTCCCCGTTCGCGGCGGACAGATTCATGCCCGCTAAAGCACGTGTTACCTGGGGCTCTCCATCTCGGGAATCATAGGAGATCTGTGACGCTGTGGTGGAGGAGACTGCGGAAGGTACTGGTGAAGCAGATTGTGGAGTCATGTGCGGTAGTGAAAAATGAAAAGTACACGGAGGTAAAGAGGCACAAGAATGCCCCCCGTGACAAGGTGGGAGAAAATTAAAAGCCTACAGCACGAAGCTGCAAAGGCCAACGACAATGGCTATGGAAAAGAAATTGAGAGATGAAGAAGAAAGTTGGGAGGAACGGGGGGAGAGGAAGAGAGAAAAAAGTTGCGGTGGCCCCAGTCGGTCGTGGTGGTGGCCTGAGGCGACGTGGTTGTGTTCTTCTAGAGTGACGAAAGTGACTTTGGGTTGTGGAAATTACAATAAAACTTTTTTTTTTTCTTCCTTTTCTTTTCCCTTCCCCTCCGTTTTGTTTAGTCAAAGGGTGGGCAAAATTGAAAAGGGAAAATGAACCAGCGGAAAAATAAAAAATCAGAAAAAGAAACAATAATAATAAAAAAAGAAAAATTCAGTTTAAAGAAAAAAAAATTGAAGCACGGCGCAACAAGGCACGGGAATGCCCAGATGGAACGGTACAGACAAGACTAGGGTCCTTAAAGAAGACTTGGCTCGTTGCCTTGCGAATTCCACTAAAGTTAGGAGGGAAAACAGCTGTTGTGGTGATGAAAATTACCCCGGGGGAAAGGCTCTCGTAAGAAAATAGTGAAGAGTGAGGGAAGAGGGCTCAGCCTAGTCCACCGGGGGTGCCCAGGTTGAAATACCCTAACTGGTACCGTAGTACGCCGCGGGCGTCGCAGGTTGGTGCCGGGCAGGTAACCTAACCTGAAGTATGAGACTCTGGATGATGGAGGCAGTGGTCGAAGTAACCAAGCAATAGTTAGCTGAGGAGCACCTTATGGGGGGGTGGGCTTGCTTAGTTAGTAGTCAGTCCCCTCTTCTTTCTCCTTCCAACTACCTAAAGGAACCACAGGTCTTTTTTAATTATTTCCCCCATTCGATGGATGGAATGATTTAATTATTCTACTTTTTTTTTTTATAATTAAGATCATATTATTAATAATCTTCAAATTGTGGGAACCTGCGTTGACCTCGAATGGATACAAGCCTCTGATTGAGGTTACAAAAGATGAGGGACTTTCCCGTTGTTACCGCATGTGGAAGAAAGGATAGCCCCCTCTCTCTGTGTGTGTCTCTCTCTCCTCCCTCGAGTCTTTGATCTAATCAGTTGGCCGTCTTTCTCTCCTTTTGTGCTTCCCCCAGTGGAATCCCGTGCTTGGGTCAGCATCGAGTAATACCAATAATAATGAAATCAAGGTGAAGGCTCTCGCTACCGCCTCCCGTTCGCAGGTCTGCGTTGGCTTCCTGTTACTGTAACGGTATGGTATCATACAGTTGCAGCCACACTTGTTTCCACTCAACAATATTCTACTTTGGTCTCCGATGTACTATGTAGGTATTTGGTTGCGATTCAAGTTGTTTGTATTTGATCGGCTTCATTGATTGATGACTTCATATGAAGCATTTCTTTAAACCAACACTTGTTCCTCTGAAATAACATCCTGATAACTAGTAAATTTGTGCGTGGAAGAATAGCTGTGACTAGGGTACCTGGTTATGTGGGCAGCAAGTAGTATTCTACGTAGTGCTTAAACCGTAAAGCCGTCACAATACAACAGTGGCGCGGGCGTCTCTGCTCCAGCAGTACTAGTTAAGTGACTGACAACTTACCTGCTTTCTAAAAAAGACAGGGCTCTCCTGTCCTGCAAGACCAAGTCTCCATCCGCTGTAAGATGTAAGATTAATTCGGAAGATCCTTGGAGCTAATACTCCGTTACTGGGGCTGCTTCCGCGTTCACATTCATCAGCTACTAAGCACTTCCTCCGTGTTGCTTTTTTGCTAGCGATGCCGATGTCCAGTCGACTGCTTCGTTGTCCCGTCGTCATTTACGCGCAACCACTCAATGTTAGTTAAGAAAGTAACCGACTGTCAACTTTGCCTTTTCGACATGAATGGGTCCCAGAGCCGATGGGATTGCAGATTGACACTCTCCCTTTCTCTTTTCTTCTAAACCAGCTTGACTTTCCCCTCATTCTGCTACACGAAAATCAGTCGGATGACGTCCGCCTCCCGACCAGTCTCAGCGCTTGGTCTCGCTTGGTCTCGCACATTCTCTTTTCCCTTCCCCCCCTCCTCAAAATCATGACGTTTGTGTCATCGCCGTTGTCCGTATCGAGGATGCGATTAGTCACTGACTCCGGAACGACCTTAATCTTCGGATCACAACACTGCAGATGCCGCACAGCCTCAATCCAACCCTCGGTCCCCGCACATCATGGATGGGGGGAGGGGACCGATGGCTTGGGTGGCTCACTGGCTCGAAGCACGAGTGGTCGGATGTTCGACTAGTATCGAGTATAGTACAATATAGTATTGTAAGTTAGTCAGTAGGTAGTAGGTAGGAGTTGGATGCCTGGCGTATTATCAATACTATTACAGTTCCGAATAATACCTATTACAAAGTAGTTAGTAGTAAAACCAGAACCTTGGCCGGAGCTTCGTGTGGCGGCTCCTCACCAGCGTGGCAGGGCGGAGCCACCATCATCTTCAAGTATGACTCTGATTAGTGATGGAGTGATAGTTAACTAGTTTTAAGTCAGAGCCCATCACTTACTTTGTAAGTTACTCAAGGGTCATGCTACCCGCATGAGGGGTAACATTTCCCCCAAGAAAAGTAAATCATCCATCCAAAACAACACACACAGGTGAAGTAAATCAATTAAGTGGACTGCACCAGAGCGAATACTGTGCTTAGCGGCCAATTTGAACCCTCTTGACCCCCTTTAAAGGGGGGGAAGCATCCACCAGTCGTTGGTTGCATTTCACGGTGGCCTCCTTCTCCATCTATGACCCCATTTCTGGTGCGCGCGCACACTTATGCCAAGCATATATCCTGTCTGCCTACAGCTGGCCATGTAGTGTCTGCTTTAATTCATGCGATCCTGCAGAGTATTTTATGACAATCTTTGAGGGGCTGAGGGTCGCTAGTAGTAGTTCAAGTGCCACTAAACCAGACGGGAAATACAGCCACTGCTATTACTTAGTTGGGTAGGTGGGCTGGATGCCCTCTCGGTGGCACCGATGCTAGTATTCAGCATATGCTACCACTACTACTATCATACTAGATATGTATGATGTTATCGAAACAGCTCCCCGCGCCAATAATGGAAGGTGCTACATGATCCTTCATTCATACTTACATACTACTTTTTATTATCTGGACCACCTGCTGGTAATGGCGCTGCTTCTAGCCAACGGGCTCTATACTTGACCCGCAGAAAGGTAGCATCTGTCTTTGAAGGCTCCTTACTTGGATGTGTCCTGAAGCCTGTGGTCAGATGAAGAAATGACTCTCCGTTTCTTTCCTAACCTCTTGACCTCCGGAGCCTTTTCCTTAGTCTGCGATGGAGGCAACTTTCCTCGATGCACATACCTCCATTTGGGTGTCAGAGACTCGAATTGTCCCGTGGGGCGGGGGCAAGGTCAGCAGGGTCCAAACTTCAAGGGCGAACGGATATCGAAAGTTATCAAACCTCATATTGTTTCCGGAGTTGATTGAGAAGGAGGAGCAGCAGCAGGCCAGGCTGAGTCGGTCGCCGCCTCTCGTACCCCCAAGCGCTTTAAACAAGCAACTATAGGGTGCAAGTCAAGTAACTCTCAAGCCATCTGGCGGTCATTGCTCTGCCGAGCATGTCCATCATTGGTATCTCAGAAAGCAGGGTAATCATCTGCAGCGCTACTATTACCTGGCGACCACTCGGGTGTGTATTATTGCAACAAACACTTCTGCTATTATGCGGACGGGCTAGCGATGTCTTCCGGCTTGTCGCGACTGAACGAAAGGCAATATCCACCAGTGCGCTAAAAGGTTGCAATGACGTGGGTTTCCCATGAACAGCTGCACCGGACCTCGGTCGTAAAGGTATTAGGTTGGCGGACCTAACTACGATTTAGAGGAGGTTACGGAGTACTACTACTGCGTAGCTGACTGGGTATTAGTGCAGTGGGCAAAGGAAGGTAGGGAGGGTTAATGGATTGACAGCCACCCTGGCCCATGTCAAACGCATAGCCCGGATGTTGATTTGCGGAGATCCGCTGATAACGAGCATGCTCCATGAGCGTACCTAGCAAGCTGCTTGCTCCATCGAACCGACTTGTCAGTACTTAGTAGTGACTTACCGAGAGCTAAGATAGCGTCTCATCTTGTTGGGCAAACAAATGCCTCGCAATGGGGCTATTGTCGCTTGCCAGGATTGTTCCACCCAGGGTAGTACGAACGCGAACATCCACACACAGGGAGATTTGGAGCTTTGAAGTTCCCACGCGACGAGGCTAGACTAACTAATAGTTTCGGGGGCAGAAGAAGGGGAGTGAAATGGCCTGCAGGAGCTAACTCGACACCATACCAGTTACTGCTAGTTACACACAGTTTACACTCCTCCTCACTCCCTACAGAACACGCAGTATCGACCACCTATCGGATCCACCATCTACCACCAGTATCCGTGTTCCGGGTGGCAGGATATTATCCAGTGGATATGGAGAGGGAGAGGAAGAGGAATAAATTGAAGGTGCGGTGGAAGCCCCATGCTTTTTTCTTTTTTCCATTTTTCATTTTCCCCCTTCTCCTCTCCACTACTGCATGATGTATCGACGGGAACACACACGGTGGACGGATCGCGTTCAGATTCAATTAGCACGAGGGATTTTTCCCAGCCAATGATAGGAAGAGCGATCCAACGAGAGAAGAAAGGGAGAAAAACGGTCCCGTCGAAATTAGCATGATTGTCCAGTCCGCGATGCAGCTCCAAGTGGGATGGGATGCACCACACCGAGTGGGTCGGTTCCGAGGACTCTCATGTCTTGTCTACATTACTAGTCCAAGGACACTAAACCTGGCCGAGTCATGGTGGAAAGCTAAGTATTGGAATTTAATCACTGATTCATTCACGGTTAGTCTAGATATTTCCCCTTCCTCCCCGGTTTTGCAATCCGGTGTATAGATAGTACGTACCCTAATTTTTCTACTGAAACCCGGGCAAGGGCTCCATTTTAATAGATGTCCCCGCCAGTGGGGGAATGTGACGGTGTACCGATCCAGCTTGGTGCGTGTGTGAGACAGAGATACTATCCAGTTTCTCATCAGTAAGAGAAAGAGGGAAAGGAGAGAGAGGGAAAGAGGGATAGAGAGAGCTGAGCTCTGGATCTTCCATGAGCTAGACCTAAGGAGCTGCAAGAGCTACAGCTTGCTTTTTTATTTTATTCTATTTTCTATTGTTTTTGGGTAATTACAAACTAATACGTATAGCTTTGCAGTCCAATCTCGATGGGACGATGGTATATCAGCAATCTACGGAAGTGAGGCCACATCTTCCGTACGGTAGAAGATGCAGTAGTTGATTGTGATTTGGACCGGATCGCTGATAAAATCCATGGATGATTTGGTGGGATCAACCCTGGCTTCGGCTACATACATCTGCGGGCGCGACCAAAAAGCAAAAAGGTGAATGAACAGATCGGCATCGTATCGCCAGCCAGCTTACTTGCTATAAATGGTTATAATCATCATTTGGTCAATCAGTTTACTGATCAGAGGCAAGAAAACAGAAAAGTAAGTGAGAAACGAGAAAGCATAATCAAAGACTACTACTTGTGTAGTACTACTTAGGAGTAGTACTAGTACTAACTGAAGAAAGTTGAACTGGCAATCATAGTTGGGGAGGGGAAAATTCCACGAGGAAAAAAGATGATGGAACGTTCGGAAACGAGGAACAACCGCTTTCCGATACGGTTTCCGGCTAAGAAATACCCACGAGTGGATGTGGATGTTTGTTCCATGGATACGGATGAGGTACGCGTGCAAACTAGTGCTGTTTCTTACTTCCTCCTCCTCCTCATCTTTTTCCTTTTCTTCTCCTCCTGCCGAAAAAGACCCGGCCGAACCCCAGCCTGGTTATGGATACAAAGATGGAGAATAAGTCCGGAGTACTCCGTACTAGGGTAGAAACGGACTTAGTTAGAAGCAGGGGAAATAGAGTCTGTCTGGGTTGACTTAGGCACCACCGTCGGCCAAATTGATGACAATATGGCATGGTATTTGTTATTACTACGGGAAAAGAAAAGAAAAGAAACACTGCCAAAGCTAAAGCTAAAAGCCTAAGCCTGTCAGGTAGTAAAACCTAGGTATCTACGGAATTTAGTAGGCATCTAACTACTAGGTATCTATCTAGTAAAAGAGGGAGAAAAGAGAGACAGCTCTTGGTTGACCGCTAGTATTCCGATCAGACAACCCCATCATTTCATTTCATTTCATTCCATTTCATTTCCATTTCATCCCACGGAAACAACAAGGGATTAATCCATCCATGCTTTTCAGCCCTTGTCATTTCCCCTGCGCGCACTGATGGGATGATCGAAACTGCTAGACAGGCGACCGCCACCCGAGTGATGAACATGAACATGGATCCCGATGACGGGGATGATAATGCCAGTCAACAATGACGCCGGGGTCCTCGTAATGCCAAATACGGGTGCTGTTCGCTACCCTTCTTTTCTTTCCTCTTCCCTGTCAAGTATGGTGAGTATCCAATCCAGGACCAGCGATCAATTGCAGGCTGAACCATTCTGTGGCGGGAGAGAGTAACTTGCCATGTGGTATGATGAAAACGAAATGGATCCCCGAACATCCTTAATTTCATCGTCATGGATGCTTTGCTCCGTATTTCCTCCCCTCCTTCCCCCTCCAATATGCGGGAATCGAGACAGCCACCGCATGGTGATCAACCACCCGTCAGTCACCCTGTAGCTAGGGTACCTAGTAGAGACACTGAGAGAGGTCCTTGCGATCCATACAATTGGTTCTAATTCACAGAGAAATGCAGCATAAAGCAGCAGCAGAAACCTGAGCTACAGCTACTCACAACTTCAACTGTTATCTCTACCTAACTACAATGCTTGCTTGCTTGCTTGCTTCTTGCTTTCGTATCTTCAAAGATGATCTTCCCCTCCTTCCTCCATCTTCCCCCTGGTTGGATATTCCATTGCGGGATATGACTTCACAGGCACACGGACTCCGCGCACCCCGTCCAACCCAACGTTCATAATCCAACAGCGACAAGAATGGAGTCAGTGGTGGCTTGGGATGCGGGTTCATTCGCCCGGATTCCGGTAGCAGTGGGGAGGATAACTGTTTAGTTTGCTGGTCCTCCTCATTCTAGGATCCCTCTCCACGTAAACTAGCCGAAGAGAAGCGAATGACTGGACGGGTAAGCCGGTTCAAGCTTTTCGTCGCATCCGCGTGTTCCTTACCCGAGTCAGATTAAGCTGCTGCTGCTGCTTCCATTTCTCCCTATATCTACTGATTTACAAGATACTGCAATGGCTGTGGAGTTGAAACTCTACATGAAGGACGGTGTGGGACTGACTGCAGCAACTCCCGGAATTGCCTGCCCTTCCTTCGCCCGACGATCGGACAACTGCTGTTGCTGCTGCTGCTTCGTCGGGATCGATGTATATGCCCAACTAAACTGTCTACTAACTTGCCTAATCTTAACCAACTAATTGACTAGTTAACTACTACTAAGTTAGTATGACACTCAAAAGGACAACTCGCACATATGCCCGGCAACACGGCACATTTTCATGTCGAAGTATCAGCTGATTGTGATCGGAGACATAAATCTTGATCATACGGAGAAGAGACACTTGAGACTGAAAAGAACTGAGCAGTTCTAACATCTCGGACCATCGCCTTCATATGTATGCGTTTCTTTCCGACTCCCTGACTGACTCGACATATTGCTTGCGCTCCGATTCAAGTTTGTCCAGCAAATCCGTGACGAAAAACAACAAAGCCCACCCACCAAGACCGGGTATAGACTTGGCTTTCTCTCTCTCATCCTGCGAAAGTGAAAAAAAGGAAAACAGCCAAGCTGCCCGTGCTGTGCAGACCAGAAACGGCCCGAGTTCCTCTGACCGTATCTTCAACAATATTTTTGTTTTTTTTTTTTTTTTTTTTTTTTAAGTTGATCGCCCCGTGAGTCACTCACTCGCTGCGAGAGCTGAGCTTACTTGGCACAAGCACAACTCGTGTTCTGGCGCACGGCTTAAGCCGACCCGTTGAACACAGCCTGCTTCTCTCTCTCCCTCTCTGGTTACCCTCGCGCGAAAGGAAGGAAGGAAACAGTCAGATGATCCATGCCAAATAGCATTCTTGGAATTAAAAATAGGGTCATAATGGAGATCCTTGTGGTGTGTGTGTACTCTTGGTGCGATGGAATGGATTAGGTAAGGCACATATAGTTAGCGGCCATCAACGGGAGAAGGGAAGGCAGCGAACAACAACACCATATCCCGTCACGTCTCCTCCGGGCATGCCGCCATTGGTGTCTTTCAAATCGCTCATCAGCAAAGAGCCAGGAACACCACACCGATAGGACCTGATGGAAGAAGGAGGGCGGCGGCGGCGGTGAGTGAGTGAGTGAGTGAGCAAAAGGTCTGGCCAGGCCGTGGCGAATTACTTCACCGTGAGTCAGGGCGATGTCATGCCCGCCGTTTTGAGCTCATCTGTGGTTG